GAATCTTTATCTACTGTCCAGTAAGGGTCAGTAATTAAGTCATTGTAATCTAATTTCATATCTGTATTGTTCCGGAGCAGATTTGATAATCTAGCTTTAGTTCGAATTGTGGTTTATTTATCAGTATCTGTTATCATGATGGTACATACCATCCGACATCTTAAAGCATTAATACAGGACGATCAGCATTGCTTCTAGTGAAAAGTCTCGGACAGGTCATGACAAAGGTCCATGTTAATATTCCATTAGTTGTAACCACAACACTTAATTGTAATATATATATATATATACATGTAACAGTACTGGTGTGATAAAACAACATTCCCTGTCCATTTGTATAGTAAGAAGGTTATGTCATTTACAACTGATATACAAATCAGGAACACAACAGACACTGCTTTATACAAGGTAATATCATGTATATGTATTCTAATAGTAGCCACTGGATAGAACTCTAACGTGATGATATCAAACATGGATTACTTTGTAAAAAATCCACATAGATTCTACTTCGCTATACAAATACTGGTGATTTTGGTACGATGAGCATCTATAAAATCTTGTTAGTATAATAAAGTCGAGTTGGCAAGAGTACATAAATGAGACGCACGATAAACTCGTATGATTATAAAAAATGACAAAATTTAAAATATTTATATTTCCATAGAAAATTATCACTAAGTTGACTATAACCTCTACACTACAATCCTCCTACAATATAACTATCCTGAGTGTTAAGCTCTACACTATAACAATCCTGGATGTCTACCTCTACACAATAACCGACCTGAATGTCAACCTCTACACTATAACCTTCCTGGCTCTACACTATAACCTTCCTGGATGTCAACCTCTACACTATAACCTTCCTGGCTCTACACTATAACCTTCCTGGATGTCAACCTCTACACTATAACCTTCCTGGATGTCAACTTCTACACTATTACCTTCCTGGCTCTACACTATAACCTTCCTGGATGTCAACCTCTACACTATAACCTTCCTGGATGTCAACTTCTACACTATTACCTTCCTGGCTCTACACTATAACCTTCCTGGATGTCAACCTCTACACTATAACCTTCCTGGATGTCAACCTCTACACTATAACCTTCCTGGCTCTACACTATAACCTTCCTGGATGTCAACCTCTACACTATAACCTTCCTGGATGTCAACCTCTACACTATAACCTTCCTGGCTCTACACTATAACCTTCCTGGATGTCAACCTCTACACTATAACCTTCCTGGATGTCAACCTCTACACTATAACCTTCCTGGCTCTACACTATAACCTTCCTGGATGTCAACCTCTACACTATAACCTTCCTGGCTCTACACAATAACCGACCTGAATGTCAACCTCTACACTATAACCTTCCTGGATGTAAACCTTTACACTATATAACCTTCCTGGATGTCTACCTCTATACTATAACCAACCTGGATGTCTACCTCTACACTATAACCTTCCTGGCTCTACACTATAACCTTCCTGGATGTCAACCTCTACACTATAACCTTCCTGGATGTCAACCTCTACACTATAACCTTCCTGGCTCTACACTATAACCTTCCTGGATGTCAACCTCTACACTATTACCTTCCTGGCTCTACACTATAACCTTCCTGGATGTCAACCTCTACACTATAACCTTCCTGGCTCTACACTATAACCTTCCTGGATGTCAACCTCTACACTATAACCTTCCTGGCTCTACACAATAACCGACCTGAATGTCAACCTCTACACTATAACCTTCCTGGATGTAAACCTCTACACTATATAACCTTCCTGGATGTCTACCTCTATACTATAACCAACCTGGATGTCTACCTCTACACTATAACCTTCCTGGATGTCTACCTCTACACAATAACCGACCTGAATGTCAACCTCTACACTATAACCTTCCTGGATGTAAACCTCTACACTATATAACCTTCCTGGATGTCTACCTCTATACTATAACCAACCTGGATGTCAACCTTTACACTATAACCTTCCTGGATGTCAACCTCTACACAATAACCTTCCTGGATGTCTACCTCTACACTATAACCAACCTGGATGTCAACCTCTACACTATAACCATCCTGGATGTCAACCTCTACACTATAACCTTCCTGGATGTCTACCTCTACACTATAACTTTCCTGGATGTCAACCTCTACACTATAACCTACCTGGAATTCAACCTCTACACTATAACCTTCCTAGATGTCAACCTCTACTCTATTACCATCTTGGATGTCAATCTCTACACTATAATCTTCCTGAATGTCTACCTCTACACTATAACCATCATGGATGTCTACCTCTACACTATAACCAACCTGAATGTCTACCTCTACACTATATAACCTTCCTGGATGTCTACCTCTACACTATAACCTTCCTGGATATAAACCTCTACACTATATAACCTTCCGGGATGTCTAACTCTACACTATAACCTTCCTGGATGTCAACCTCTATACTATAACCTTCCTGAATGTCAACCTCTACACTATAGCCATTCTGGATGTCTACCTCTACACTATATAACCTTCCGGGATGTCTACCTCTACACTATAACCTTCCTGGATATAAACCTCTACACTATATAACCTTCCTGGATGTCAATCTCTACACTATAACCTTCCTGAATGTCAACCTCTACACTATAACCATTCTGGATGTCAACCTCTACACTATAACCTTCCTGGATGTCAACCTCTACATTATAACCATCATGGATGTCAATCTCTACACTATAATCTTCCTGGATGTCAACCTCTACACTATAGCCATTCTGGATGTCTACCTCTACACTATATAACCTTCCGGGATGTCTACCTCTACACTATAACCTTCCTGGATATAAACCTCTACACTATAACCTTCCTGGATGTCAATCTCTACACTATAACCTTCCTGAATGTCAACCTCTACACTATAACCATTCTGGATGTCAACCTCTACACTATAACCTTCCTGGATGTCAACCTCTACACTATAACCATCATGGATGTCAATCTCTACACTATAACCTTCCTGGATGTCAACCTCTACACTATAACCATCATGGATGTCAATCTCTACACTATAATCTTCCTGGATGTCTACCTCTACACTATAACCATCATGGATGTTAACCTCTACACTATAACCAACCTGGATGTCTACTTCTACACTATATAACCTTCCGGGATGTCTAACTCTACATTATAACCTTCCTGGATATAAACCTCTACACTATATAACCTTCCTGGATGTCAATCTCTACACTATAACCTTCCTGAATGTCAACCTCTACACTATAACCATTCTGGATGTCAACCTCTACACTATAACCTTCCTGGATGTCAACCTCTACACTATATAGCCTTCCTGGATATAAACCTCTACTCTATATAACCTTCCTGGATATCAACCTCTACATTATAGCCTTCCAGGATGTCAACCTCTACACTATTACCTTCCTGGATGTCAATCTCTACACTATAACCTTCTTAGATGTCAACCTCCACACTATAACCTTCCTGGATGTCAACCTCTACACTATATAACCTTCCTGGATGTCAACCTCTTCTTTGGTGTTCGGCTCTAACATATAACTACCCTGGATTTCAAGTTCTAGCTTGGGTGTTATGCTCTACTTTATAACTTCCCTGTATGTCAAATTATAGCTCGGATGTTAGGTTCTACCATATAACTACCCTGGATTTCAAGTTATAGCTCGGATGTTATGTTCTACCATATAACTTCCCTGGATTTCAAGTTATAGCTCGGATGTTAGGTTCTACCATATAACTACCCTGGATGTCAAGTTATAGCTCGGATGTTAGGTTCTACCATATAACTACCCTGGATGTCAAGTTATAGCTCGGATGTTAGGTTCTACCATATAACTACCCTGGATGTCAAGTTATAGCTCGGATGTTAGGTTCTACCATATAACTACCCTGGATGTCAAGTTATAGCTCGGATGTTAGGTTCTACCATATAACTACCCTGGATGTCAAGTTATAGCTCGGATGTTAGCTTCTACCATATAACTACCCTGGATGTCAAGTTATAGCTCGGATGTTAGCTTCTACCATATAACTACCCTGGATGTCAAGTTATAGCTCGGATGTTAGGTTCTACCATATAACTACCCTGGATGTCAAGTTATAGCTCGGATGTTAGGTTCTACCATATAACTACCCTGGATGTCAAGTTATAGCTCGGATGTTAGCTTCTACCATATAACTACCCTGGATGTCAAGTTATAGCTCGGATGTTAGGTTCTACCATATAACTACCCTGGATGTCAAGTTATAGCTCGGATGTTAGGTTCTACCATATAACTACCCTGGATGTCATGCTCTATATTGCTTGCAACATTTGACTTAAAACAAGCTTTACTTCATCAGAAATCGAGACTAGGTCAACGTTTTATATAGCATATATATTACAGAAACACGTGTTGAAAGTGGTTTTAAATAACATTCAACATATGGTTTCTTTAAGAGCTTAGAGTTAACAATGACCAACACGTCATGGTGTTTAAGAAAGCATTCATCTTTTGTTCCCTGTATTTTACAAAAATGATAATAATGATTCACCCTCGAACAAACAACCCTAACCCAGCTTGGTTCTTAAAGTTTGTTATTGCTTTATGAAGAAGATCAAAAGGTGGGGAGGATAAAGATGCGCTTGTTTTTATCTAAACGATGATCCTATTGGAAAGAGAACACCATATTTAATACAGCAAGTCACAAACATTGTAAACGAGTCCTCCATTTTAAGTACTTATTATACATCTACTCCTTTCCAACAAAACAAGCACAAAGCATTTCGAGGTAAATATAACACGGATTTTACAGTTCGATCAATGTTTTATTTACAGGTGAATGCATGCTATTTAACATCTATGTATAATTAAGTGAACGCGTTAAACTGAATGTGTAATTCTTTCCATTAATACATTCACCTAACAAGAAAAATATTATGCGTGTGATACCAAATACTCATAGTTTTTCTTCCATTATCTGTGTGCTAGTGACATCTTTGTTAACATCCTCGATTGGTACTGTTTTCGACCTTCCTTTTGTGATACGATAAACCCTGAAATATGATGACAAACACCACTTTAATTACTAGTATTCAATCCTAAAATAATTTTTTTTAAAAATCCAAATCATCATATACAACACATGTATTTTTTGCCATTTTGTAATTCACAACAAAATGTTTATCGACTCGATATCAAAGGATATTTTTTCATGATAATTGTCCAAATGCTATTCAGTGAAACTGTGATGTTTTGCTGTATTGCACGCGTGTTTATTACGCTATCGTGGCGTCAGGTTTACACGATGATATGACGTCGCACACTCATTTTCATTGTGATGTAGCATTGGAGACAAAATGAATGGAGCCTAAAATGCCAGATTTTGACGAGGAAATGTTGTTCATAATAATCGATGATACGATAATTTTTCTTTTAAACAGAATTTTCGACGATGGTTACTTGTTAATTAGGAAACGTTTTGAAAACAAGAAACCATAAACAATTAGCAATTTCCATTCTAAGCATCCTTGATGTCTGTAAGAACCCTGACTCTGAACACAAGTAACAAGACTGCGTTATAGTCTAGACTAAAAAGTTATGATATAAACACTATAAAATTCTACAATTTATAATGTTTCTCGAAATGAGCCTAGATAAAGCTTTATAAAAAGACTAATTTCAGAATTTAATAGATGTAAATAATTGGATTGAGCAGTGAATAAGACCGTTCAATAGATGTTTAAAATTAACAAAATACACTTTGATCAGGACAATCAAGAAGTGTATCTTTGTTGGGTTTTACTTTTATAGGATACCGAAGGATAAGGACAATTACTCACAGCAGAAGACATGCGGTAAGTAGAGACATACTGGCGAATACCAGGAAAACCAAGCCTCGCATAGTGCCAACCGTCGCTGCATAGATAGATGACGCTCCAACATTGCTCCCCAGGTTAGCTACTATCTCTACCACGGCTATTCCGGCGAACAGAGCACCTACACAATCGTTTATACATATAATCATTTATAAGATATACATACAGTTATATATATCTTATACAGTAGTAATGTAATAGAAACAAAAACAGCATGGGAATTGACAATTTCGCATCATGAATTACACAAGGTACACTTTTATCAAAACAAAAAGACACATGTCTACATCATTAAATCAAACTCAAAACCAACATGTACATAATCTATCTTGCTTCATATCATATATAAATATAAACATGACAAATGCGTTACAGATTTCATACAACAAACAGAGGGATGTAGATTATTTGCAACGGGTATCTCTACAGTGAATTTCCCATTTCTGGATGGAAACATCCCTATATCCTTAATCTATGATGTATACATGTCGCAGATGATACTATATTCGTGTTCTTATTATCACGATTTTCCTGCAAGAAGTTGTCAGTTGACGCACAAACTCGTTACATAGGGTTAAAAAGATGCAAGTTGATAAAAAATATGGGAATGTTTTTACGGTCGTTATAGGGATTTCATCACGAAATATGCACAAAGAGAGATTTTAATTGATAACAAGGAAACTCGCTCGTCGTTGATAAATATTCGATAAATGTGAATGACAGTGTCATATATAATAACGCATGCTTACCACTCACAACATTAGTCAGCAAGTGTGACTTCTCACGTGGATACTGTGGCAGATGGGAAATTATCAGTTCACTAAACAGTTAACTGTTTAAAGGCTGGGTACAGATGAGCAGTGGTTTATGAACATTTTCAAACATAAATAATGAAAATTCTTTCTCATTTCATGGTTGTGGGTTTGTTGAGACAGATATATTTGAAGTGTTAATTTTGCGTTCAGTGGCAGCAATTTGAATTTTTCACAAACCGCTGGTTAACTCCAATTAACTATTGGAGAAAGAAATATCGGATCTTATGTCGTAAACTGGATATTGGACTGGGAATATTGGGATAGCATATAAACGTATTGGAAGTGTAGAAACACTTACAATCAATAAAAAAGAATAACACTATGTCTCTTTAATAAGGTGCAGAGACATTAAGCCATGACATCACCTAAAGATGTTCAAGCCGAACTCAGGAGCCGTTCAGGTAAATGGTTAGAGATTTCAGTAATTTTACCAAGTGAGGGATGCAGAACAGAAAACTAATCGGATTGCTCCATGTTCAATGTAATGTGTTCATTTAGGTTTCATTGTTACTTTGTAACTGTTGTAGGACAATTTTGCCTCTTGGTTCTACGTCTACATTGTCTGTTACTCAATAAATGTGTTTAAAAGGCTTGTCGTGCTTAACCTCGAAAGAATCACGTGACAAAAAAGCATCGTGATAAATAAAGATATACATTACTGGCAATAACAAGTACAAGATCCAGTGATGGAAGTTAGATACCTTGTAAACACAAATATTAACAGTGGCACACTCCATCGAAAAATACATCCCTGTTGTAGCTCGCCTTTCATAAAACCGCGAATATTTGAAACATCGAAAAAAAGAGCGTAAGCAGTATGATAACGTAACAATGTATAACCATAAATGTCTTGATAAAAAATTGAGGAAAAGAAAATAAGAAATGTGGCAATATATCATGTTTGACGTCATCACCATGTATATCATTGAGTTACGTACCCTGTCTGTCGGCGGGAGTAAGTTTGGACAGTATGGATCTAACCATCGGGAACACCAAAGCGTTTAGGAAACCTATGACTGGAACTGAAATAATGAGAAAAATCATAAAAAAAATATGAACTTCGAAACCGTTTTTGATATAAGCGTTTAATTTTCCAAATCATAATCGCAGGGTATGAACAAATGGACATTTAATCATATAAAGCTTTTCCAGTCAGACATTTATTCGAAATAACAAATGTTAATTGACTCATTATCAGAAACTTACCCATAAACAACATGACGTCATCAACCGCTAATGCCTCCACAGTATAAGCTGACATTCCAGAGATAGCACTTAAAATTGCGATGATTTCTTCGGCGAAAAATATCTGCAGACCTTTGACAATAGCTACACCTAATATCATTGAAGTTGAAACCGAAATTGCCGTGTAATACCCAACTTTAACAGACGTCCAACAAAATGGTGCATTTAATTGGTACAGAATTTCTGTACTTGGTCTACCAAGAAGAGAAAGCGACGCCGTCATGAAAGTTATTATTCCCAGTACATATTTGTATCTTATAGGAGATGCCTGAAAATAGAATATAAATGATGCGCGGGCATTTTCAAACATGGAGGTTTTGGCTATAAACATGGCACGTGGGCGTGAATGCGGCAGAAACAACACAATAACCAGCACTGAAGTGGCTGTTGCTGCACACACGCATATGTTTGCATAGAAGAAACCGACACGCTGAATAACGAACCCAGAAACGAACCCCGAAAGTGCCGCACCTATTCCGATGGCGGCTTCAAGACATGTTATCATTAGAGTTCGTTGCTTTCCGGGCCTTGTAACATCCGAAATGTAGGCGAATCCAACTGAAAGTACTCCGTAAAAACCACCTCCGAAGCCATTTAACATGTTGCCAATTAAGAGGTAGTAAACACTGAACTCAAAATAAATGATAATACTGGAAATGCAATTACATAGAAAATATAAACTTATTGTAAACGTTAGAACTCGTGTTCTCCCAAAACGGTCACTCAGTCCGCCAATCACCCCACAAGTTACGAGAGCTGGTAAATTATCTGCCAGCTTGAAGTAGATATTGAACCTTGAAGCCGTCTTCTGTACAGTAGTCCTTTCATGGTAGACTTCAGTCGACGTGTTTACGTTACAGGCGGAACCCTCAGAAGTAGATAGATTGGAGTTAGGATACATGTGAATCTGAAAGTAGTGGACTATATATTGGGACGTTAACAGTGTTGAAAGTAACCCACTAAACAAAAATAGCATTAACACCACTGCGAGGGTTCCGTGCGACCACCTCAGGGAATTGGGCTTCGGAGGTTTCTTCTCCATGACCGAGTTTTACGCTTTTATTGTTTTATCTGGAACAGGAAGTCGAATAAGACTTTGTAAAATGTGTTTCTACCAAAGAGTCCACAGTGTTTGATCGTCTCAAAAAGAAACTTCATCAATAAACATTAATCATAAAAGTCGAGGCCCTGTTACTCAGTAAAGAGGAATGCTCTTGGTGACTTGGTATGAGCATTACAAGCTATCCTACTGATAACATTGAACCACTGGTGACCTAGTCCGTATTTAAGACACAACATTATCTGAAAAAGACATGTATATACAGACTGATTTCGGGGTATGCTGTGGGAAGATCGAAGATTAACGTCTCTAAACAGACAATATTGAATTGAGAAAATTAACAATAAAATGTAAATATTTCCTTATATTCTTTCTGAGGACAAATAAGCTGTATTTTATGTCACAAAGACATCACAGAAAACAGTCATTTGGAACGAAATACATGTATTGTTTTAGGATGTAATGTGCCAATATACGACAATCACGAAAACAATGTCGTTATGCGAATAACTTTCAACTCACAATACTCTCAAAATTATTAGGAAGTTTAAATGTTGGCGTGGTGTTTTTCTGATATCGTAGAAACCATCTGGACGTAAAAAGATGACGGCCACTTGGTCTAAAATGTGAAACACGTGTAAAAATAATACATTATCCTTACTTCAATACAAGTTCAATTAAATACTGACTGTTTAGACACGCCTCTTAACTTAGAGTTGATCGAAACGTCATGTGACATGGCTTACAAGATCTGAACCGCAACACAGCATCTGTGGATAAAGTGCCAGGTCCGTCCTTCCGGTATTTCTATATCAAATAATGTTCCTCTTGCCCGAGCACCTATGTCAGTATTGAAATATACACGGACCTAGATAATGTGGCCTCATCTTTCTGTGATAAACATCTTTATCTACAGTCAATAGATACGCAGATTGTGATTTCACTGGCATTCCATATGAGAGTGATTGAAAGTCATGTGCATATGTATTGTCTTCTTGTTGCGGAGAAAATTTTCATTATGTAGGTAGTATGTAATCATTTGATAATTATTTACCCGAAATTCCTATCGATATGCATTCGCTGAGTTTTGAGGGTTGGGTGGATTGTAAAATTAGCTAGAAAAGTAATCGTACGAGTATTGGTTTTTTCCATTGTTATTTATTGTTGTATCATTATATGTTGTTTCTTTGCTTTTAAAAAGTCTCTTTTCAAAAAAGTTTTTATGTGCTCTTTTAGTGAGATGTTGTTGTACAGTTATCTTTAAATGATCTTTTTCACATTTACTTTCTTTCATCAGTTTCAGTCCCATTGACAAGTTGAATAAAAGATCAAAGACACACAAGTGATTAGTACCTTTTAATACAATTTTGAAAATAAATGCACTAGAGCCAAATATCGCATTAAACGGCACCATAAATTGTCATGTCCTTCTAGGATTCGTCAGTAATGCCCAGGGCCTATATTTGAAGCCTTGAAAGCGACAGAAGAAAAGTGATTGAAAGAAATGTCCAACTCTAAAATGGGAAATCAAAAAGCCCCATATTTCTTAATTTCATATGTATCTAATGATTTGGAAAGCATGTCAAGTACGAATGCATATTCTGAACCATGTCAATATTTGAATAAATTGAAAGAGAGGAATAATACCAAAATAGTCGTAGTCGTAATGAAATGTTGTAAATGTAAAATATGGTGACGATTTAATTATTAGAACACCGAACAAATGTATCACACATGGCTTGTTTCATTTTTCATAGTAAACGCAGCTTCTACGAATACGAGACAATTATTTATCGTGCTTAGAAATAAATTCTCCAAAAGGCTATTTACATAGTTATGGGAACTGTGCCCCTCTGCTGGCTGACTTGTTGTTGCTTTCATACGAGGATGAGTTTATTGAAGAGCTTGTCAAAACAGGTCAACAAGAAGTTGTCAATTGACAGATTGAATAGTAACACGGTTTCAAAAGATGCAGGTTGATGAAAACTATAGAGAAGTATCAAGGTCGTTATGTTGATCTCATTGAGAAATATTCTATTTCTTTGTGCGATTTGAAACTGGACGTTAGTTTGCCTGTTGGTTTCGTTGTTTCATACCTTGTTCTCATTTGAGAACGTTACATTACGTACCTAGATTTGACCAATGTTTACATTGGGGGTGTCATCGATGAAGCAGAACACGCTTACTCCTCCGGAACACCTGGTCTTATTCGACTTGTACCTTTTCAGGAGCATCCATGTAAATCTTTAGTATGTACTTATTTTTGCCCTAGTTTTATTGACTTTGATTGTGGATGATGAGTATGTTGACATGTGGGTATTTTTTCTGTGCCATTCTTCCGGATATGCTACCTTCTTGAGTCCTATCTTCTGGTACCCTACACTCTGGGGCCCATCTGCTAGGGCCCTGCATACTTGGGGCCTACCTCCTGTATCAAACCCTCTTGGGTCCTATGTAAAATGTTGGCTTTCAGTAAAGTTTAGGTTATGCCTATTTCTTTAATACTACTCACATAACTGCAGCAGAGAAATAGTCGTATATTATACGCTTTTTAATATTTCTAATATAACGTCCACATTACACAGGTTAACAAAGTAAAGAATATCTATAATATCCACACTGATTCAACAGTAATGATCATGGTCACCACTTTATACCGCAATGATTTACCGGAATGCTTATTTACGTAGAGTTCAGAAACTAATTAGTATGTATGGGTAAAGTAAAAATGACTTCTATAATATTTGTATATTTACCCCACATTTAATAGATAGAAATAAAGTTTACCATCACGTAAGTGATACAGTCTTACCACGATGTCCTAAGACACTAAATTATTAGATTTGACATATTTTTTTATTATCTGAGATACAATCATGTGTCAAAAAGCATACATTTATCACAATATATTCCGCTATTCCAAATTTACCTACAATCACAGTCTGATGGCACAGGGTTTCATATCGGTAATATCCATCAACATGTTTTGCCAATGACATGGAACAAAGTCCAAACTATGGATCACCCTGGCCTACTTATGGTACAGCCCTCCGCCTGTCGAGAAATACTTATACATTGTCTATCGTAGATGAAAGTGTATATGATTAAATAACGGTGGGGAATAATATTACCTTACTTGAAACAAATCAAAATGAAATAGTTTCACTAACAAATGACACACAGAGACGTGTCACGATGCTTATTTTTGAATGAAATGAAAACAACACCATCTTGTGGAAATTTTGAATGTTCACCTGGAACAATCTTGTATCGATGTTTTTCGTGATATGATCAGCTTCATTATCCTTCATCCCCAATCAATTTCTGAGTCTCAGTAATGATTTTCGTCACATCTTGTATTGGTAAGGTTTTCGATCCGCCATTTTTGACACGATAAATCCTGAAAAAAGATTGACAAACAAGAACTAGATTATTCTAAAAAAATATTCTTCCAGCATGTAATATACGGATATTTCTAATACTTTATCTTGATTTGGTCGTTAGTCCTTTAGGTGGATGTCACTCATTCCCATCCACTTAACGATGTAATTTTTAAAAATCCTATTAACGCTGAGGGTTTTAGCATTTACGTTGATATACCTATGCAACACTGACCTATTACCAGCAAGCCCAAATGCTCCATTTCCACAACTTATTTTATCCGGAAAAAAGTTTTTAACCATCAGAAAAGCATAACCATAAAATGGACAATTCTGACAACCGAGCAAGATAGGAGGAGGTAAAGATGAATACGCAAATACCTTAAATTAAAAGTGTAAAGGGAACATTATATATTACTTATACAAAACAATAGATGTAAAACCAAAGAACATAGCCCATACTCACAATAAGAAAAATACATTCAGGAAAGCGGAGCCCGCAAGAACGAGGAAAACCAAGCCCCGCATCGTCTCAACGGTCTCTTTGTAGATTACCGATGTTCCAAGACTGCTAGCCATTCCTGCTAATATCTCAACCACAGCTATCCCCGCAAAAAGAGCACCTACGATAATAACGTGATACATATCATTTGTAAATAATGTGATTCGTACAGTGTTAATTAATGCGATCCCTATAATAGTACGAACTGTAATACATACAACGGTAAATACTTTGATGTAAGTAATGTAATGTAAAATGATAAATAACGTGATACACACAACGGTAAATAATGTGATGTAAACAATGATAAATAACGTGATACATACAACGGTAAATAATGTGATGTAAACAATGATAAATAACGTGATACATACAACGGTAAATAATGTGATGTAAACAATGATAAATAACGTGATACATACCACGGTAAATACTTTGATGTAAGTAATGTAATGTAAAATGATAAATAACGTGATACATACAACGGTAAATACTGTGATGTAAACAATGATAAATAACGTGAACACATGCAACGGTAAATACTGTGATGTAAACAATGATAAATAACGTGAACACATGCAACGGTAAATATTGTGATGTAAACAATGATAAATAACGTGATACATACAACGGTAAATAATGTGATGTAAACAATGATAAATAACGTGATACATACAACGGTAAATAATGTGATGTAAACAATGATAAATAACGTGATACATACAACGGTAAATAATGTGATGTAAACAATGATAAATAACGTGATACATACAACGGTAAATAATGTGATGTAAACAATGATGAACAACGTAAACAATGAACACATGCAACGGTAAATACTGTGATGTAAACAATGATAAATAACGTGTAAACAATGATAAATAACGTGATAACGGTAAATAATGTGATGTAAACAATGATAAATAACGTGATACATACAACGGTAAATAATGTGATGTAAACAATGATAAATAACGTGATACATACAACGGTAAATAATGTGATGTAAACAATGATAAATAACGTGATACATACAACGGTAAATAATGTGATGTAAACAATGATAAATAACGTGATACATACAACGGTAAATAATGTGATGTAAACAATGATAAATAACGTGATACATACAACGGTAAATAATGTGATGTAAACAATGATAAATAACGTGATACATACAACGGTAAATAATGTGATGTAAACAATGATAAATAACGTGATACATACAACGGTAAATAATGTGATGTAAACAATGATAAATAACGTGATACATACAACGGTAAATAATGTGATGTAAACAATGATAAATAACGTGATACATACAACGGTAAATAATGTGATGTAAACAATGATAAATAACGTGATACATACAACGGTAAATAATGTGATGTAAACAATGATAAATAACGTGATACATACAACGGTAAATAATGTGATGTAAACAATGATAAATAACGTGAACACATACAACGGTAAATAATGTGATGTAAACAATGATAAATAACGTGATACATACAACGGTAAATACTGTGATGTAAACAATGATAAATAACGTGATACATACAACGGTAAATAATGTGATGTAAACAATGATAAATAACGTGATACATACAACGGTAAATAATGTGATGTAAACAATGATAAATAACGTGATACATACAACGGTAAATAATGTGATGTAAACAATGATAAATAACGTGATACATACAACGGTAAATAATGTGATGTAAACAATGATAAACAACGTGATACATACAACGGTAAATAATGTGATGTAAACAATGATAAATAACGTGATACATGCAACGGTAAATATTGTGATGTAAACAATGATAAATAACGTGAACATATGCAACGGTAAATAATGTGATGTAAACAATGATAAATAACGTGATACATACAACGGTAAATAATGTGATGTAAACAATGATAAATAACGTGATACATACAACGGTAAATAATGTGATGTAAACAATGACAAATAACGTGATACATACAACGGTAAATAATGTGATGTAAACAATGATAAATAACGTGATACATACAACGGTAAATAATGTGATGTAAACAATGATGAACAACGCGAACACATGCAACGGTAAATACTGTGATGTAAACAATGATAAATAACGTGATACATACAACGGTAAATAATGTGATGTAAACAATGAAAATAACGTGATACATACAACGGTAAATAATGTGATGTAAACAATGATAAATAACGTGATACATACAACGGTAAATAATGTGATGTAAACACTGATAAATAACGTGAACACATTCAACGGTAAATAATGTGATGTAAACAATGATAAATAACGTGATACATACAACGGTAAATACTGTGATGTAAACAATGATAAATAACGTGATACATACAACGGTAAATAATGTGATGTAAACAATGATAAATAACGTGATACATACAACGGTAAATAATGTGATGTAAACAATGATAAATAACGTGATACATACAACGGTAAATAATGTGATGTAAACAATGATAAATAACGTGATACATACAACGGTAAATAATGTGATGTAAACAATGATAAATAACGTGATACATACAACGGTAAATAATGTGATGTAAACAATGATAAATAACGTGAACACATTCAACGGTAAATAATGTGATGTAAACAATGATAAATAACGTGATACATACAACGGTAAATACTGTGATGTAAACAATGATAAATAACGTGATACATACAACGGTAAATAATGTGATGTAAACAATGACAAATAACGTGATACATACAACGGTAAATAATGTGATGTAAACAATGATAAATAACGTGATACATACAACGGTAAATAATGTGATGTAAACAATGATAAATAACGTGATACATACAACGGTAAATACTGTGATGTAAACAATGATAAATAACGTGATACATACAACGGTAAATAATGTGATGTAAACAATGATAAATAACGTGATACATACAACGGTAAATATTGTGATGTAAACAATGATAAACAACGCGATACATACAACGGTAAATATTGTGATGTAAACAATGATAAATAACGTGATACATACAACGGTAAATACTGTGATGTAAACAATGATAAATAACGTGATACATACAACGTTAAGTAATGGGGTACATGTACATTCAATGGTAAGTTATGTGGTACATGTACATTCAATGGTAAGTTATGTGGTACATGTACATTCAATGGTAAGTTATGTGGTACATGTACATTCAATGGTAAGTAATGGGGTACATGTACATTCAATGGTAAGTTATGTGGTACATGTACATTCAATGGTAAGTAATGGGGTACATGTACATTCAATGGTAAGTAGTGTGATATCATGAATGAGCCGATAGTGTGTTTCTACTACAATAACAACAATGGTAAAATGCTATCCGTAGAATTTTTTATGTTGTATTGACGACATGCGCTCATGATATTATGTCTACAAGGTTACTTTGATAGAGAAATGAAGAATATAGTGATCAGATGATAAATAACTGTACAGATAGATATTGCGATGAAAAGAGATGTTAAGCCTGATTAAGAGTGTGCGATGAAAAGATAAACCTATACTGACAAATGTTATGAATAAACAAATATGCACGTATTATGAATAGATATCAGTAACGTAAACATAAATGTAAATGAATTGATAAATGACAAAGCATGTTGTGAAAGTGACATCGTGATTATGAATGCATCGATATTTTAATAATATTTATTTGGATAAATAGATATGGTACCGTTATTTCATTATCCAGCAGATATCGACACTCTTCGGTGTATAGAGAATGGCCATTTTTTTTTTTATAAAACTCATGACATTGAAAACAAATTCAAGAAAATACCAATATGTCAACATAATCATGTTCCAAACTAAAATTCCATCAAAGTAGAGGAAAATGAACAGAAGAAAGATTTACACGGAGACCTTTGTACAAGGAGAATAAGACCAGGTGCTCTGAAAGAGTAATGGTTTTCGGCTTCATCGACGACACCCGCCATGCAAGACTTGCTCAATCCAATCTCAATAAATAATTCAAAACACAGGTCAGGGCCATTCTAAAGCCTTTGAATACATGCAGAAATATGACAGTATAGCAATAACTTCCATAAATAAAAGCAGATGTAACTGTTGATATGATGAGAGAAATTTGAAAGCATTGTGGTGAATAGAGAGGGACTTCTTATGAGTATCATGTTAATGTGAGTTGGAATTTAATAGTCCAGGCATCCAATGGGCCATATGATATGAACATCCCATCGGAAAGAGTAAGGAAACACTTACCTTGCCTGTCCGGGGGTGTAAGTTTGGAAAGCATCGCCCTGATTATCGGGAACACCAATCTGTTTAGAAAACCAATGACCGGAACTGCACAACAGAAATAAGATGTATGTCGAAATATATGACCCATTTTCCAAAACGATTGTTTTGAAGAGTTACTGATTAGGTATATCTTTCTATAATCGCTCAAACGAACTAAAGGATTGGTAAAGCAAAGATCAATTAATAGTACACTCTATGACGATTAGGACTAGATATATTAAGACTTAAATGGAGATCATATTATAAAAAAAAATGTTTGAGTAAACTCAAATCATGTCTAGATAGATTAGAAAGGACAGTTATTATTATTTTTTATCAGATCGGAGCAACGATCACAGAATATATATCAGCTTGTAAAATGTTGTAGAACAGGAATATTTCACACACTTTCAAACATTTTTACAAAATAGACCGCTAATTTCTTTGTCTGATCTGTTCAATAACTCAGAAATACCATCTCATGTTTCCTTGTCTTTCAAAACATTTCAATAACCTCAAAATCCGATATATTTTTGTCATTGTACAGCTCACACCGAAAGCGTTATTTTTTTTATTAAAAAGTCATTATCACACACACTCTCGGAGGAAAGCTGACCTTACCCAGAAAGAGGATTTGATCACTGAGGGCAAATGCTTCGACAGTGTTTGCTGCCATCCCTGAGATACCACCAAAAATGGCGATGACTTCGTCAACGAACCATTTCTGCAACACTTTAACACAAGCTACTCCTAAAATCATCGAGGCGGAAGTTGAAATGGCCGAGTAATATCCCACTTTCAAAGAACTCCAACAAAATGGTGCATTCAACTGATACAGAACTTCTATATTTAGCTTGCCTAAAATCGAAAACGTTCCGAACATGAAACTTACAATTGCCAGGACATATTTATATCTTTTGGGAGATGTTTCAAAATAAAATATAAATGATGCACGAACATTCTCAAGAGTTGTGGTTTTTGATATTAATATGTCAGGAGGGCGTAAAGGTGGCAGAAACAACACAATCACCAACACGGAACTAAACGCTGATGCGGACACGAATATACTTGCATAGAAGAATCCGAAACTCTCAATAATGAACCCAGAAACGAACCCCGAAACTGCCCCACCAAATCCGATGGAGGCTTCAAGAAAAGCTATCATTAGAGTTCGCTGTTTTCCTGGGCTTGTGACATCCGAAATGTAGGCGAAACAAATAGATAATGTACCATATAAACCACCTCCTATGCTGTACACTGCGCTGCTAAACAGGAGGTAGTAAACGTTGATTTCGAGATAAATCAAAATATTTGTAAGACATGCCGATAGAAAAGATAAAATGGTTGTATATATTAGAATCCGTGTCCTTCCATACCGATCACTTAAACCTCCTATGATGCTAGATGTAATGAGAGCGGGTAAACTTTCTATCAGTGCTCTGTAAATACCGATCTGTGTGGCTGTCTTCTGTACTGTTGTTCTTTCATGATATTCCTTTGTCGACGTGTTAACGTTGCAAGCGGACATATTGTCCGACGAAGACAGACTCGAGTTCGGAAACATGCGAGTCTGTAGGTAATACACGGTGTATTGAGTCGTCAACAGAGAGGAAAGTATCAAACCGAACAAATAGAACATCAAAGTTACTGCAAGGAATCCGTGCGAACACCTCAAGGTAGCCTGATTGTCCATTTTTACGAGATGTGTGTCCTGTCAATGTTAAGCCTAGAATAGAAACGGAGTTATGATGTATTGTGAGATATTTCCTACAATATATAAACTTCCAGCACTGTTCAATGAAATGCGACTTCCATGACAAATTAGGAGATGTTAAAGGTGAATGTGATTTACACTGGCGAAAGATCAAACGTAAGCGTAAAGCACTCTGACAAAGATTCCGAAGTAAATTATGATATATTTATCTGAGCACTAAAATCCTTTACAATTAATAAACTTTCAAAAGAAATGTAAAAAAAAAATCAAACAGTAGCTGATCGCTGAAAGGATTGTTCAAAGAAACATAAGCGAGTAGCATCTGTCAATAGGAATTAACAAAATTGGATACAGAAGAGCCAAATAATCAATTAACTGCAGCATATAGTTCCGTCCTTCCAGAATTGTGCAAATGAATTCATAAACTCGCTGTAATATCCGAAGACGTTTGGAACTATGTTTCCGCGCGGAGCAATTATTTTGGTTTCCGTCATCTGGCAAAATTCAGCGTAACATCAATGTCAAGTTAACACAGGTTGAACAACAAAACTGTTTAAGTTTCAATAGTCTGATTTTCAGTCAATGATGCAGGATAAATACAATACATGGTCAGCGTATTGAGATATAAGCTGTATTTTGGCGAGGAGAAGAAAGTGGCGAGCCACGTAAGACACTGAACATGTATTCCCTATATAATGTAAAACGTGATGATGAATATCTCCACAACCATATGTCACGTACTAGAAACACGTTTTTGATCACTCACACAATCGTTTTAAGATATACCAGAATAACGAATCTACATCCGAACGCTGCACTCAGCAACACCATCCCATCGTAAAATCCATTGTCACTGAGCACCTTGTCAGAATGACAAAATTTCCTGTAGGAAGTGTTTTACAGTCTGTATCATGAACTGTGCTAGATAAAGAAGGAACGAACTATGTACTATCTACTGATACGCGGTTAGTGTTACACAGATTAAATCAGTATTTAAATTGGCCAAACGAAAGGGGGCACATTCTGGGACTGTCGCCAGGGTTCGAACACGTGCAGATTCCAGGATCCCAGATATACAGAGTGACCATGTTGTACTATATAGATAATTGTCCCATACGTTACTGATTTATTTTCACTTCAACAACATTTAATCATGTCTGTTGTATACAGTTCGTCATAGCTATGCGTCAATTACAATAGCTACACTAGACTATCTAAATCATCACCTAGAGCATATAGCTGTGATCTGTCCGTCTTGTTGATGTTTTGCGTGTTATATGTTATATAATGGTGGCTGCCAGAAAATGGTCAGAATGTAACGTGAAACATTCTTTTTTTCTACACTACAGCTGAAAAGGTAATCTATGTCCTCTATACGAGGAATTAAACTGCAACTGTGTCCTTTTTCATATTTCAATTCAGCTAGGGACAAATGTTAACATTACTTGCATTTCCGCTGGTAGATAATGAATTGTAAGTTTCCAACTAATTTAGGTAAGGTTACACCGAACCAATACCATACAATGTTATTAAATAAATATGTACAGCTTTTAGAATAAAGTGCGATAAATACATAGATATCCATGTCACATTCCAATATGTAATTCTCATTTATATCAGTGTCATTAATAAGTTAAATATTCAGAAATGTCATTTTAAATATCATTATTAAGAAAATGTTACATGGGGAATCCTTTTCTCCTGAGAATACGAATAAACTACAAATGTTTAGATAAAAAATAAGCCTTACCAGTACCAATTTACGGTGATAGAAATAGACATAGTGAAAAAATATAATTGCAATCGAACAATGTATGGAACATAATTGTGTAAGAACAAGTTATTATTGCGAGTTGATGGAAAACGTTTCATGTGGACGAAATGTTATTATGTGGGAACGCAATAATATAGTATGCTCTTTGAAACAACTCTAAGGTGACTGGAAACGGACATCACCAATTTGTATCAATGATCGTGTTTTATATTTGACCTAATGCTTTGTTGTCAGCCAAAATAAAGGGAGGTAAGTGTTTTAATTGTGTAAATATTATGGAATACTATTAGCAAAACTAACATGAATGATATAATTTTGTAATGTCCCCTGTATTTACCATATTCATAACACAACCTTGTAGTTAACAAAGTTAACTATGTAGCACAAGAAAATACCAACAGTTCCATGACCCAAACCCATATACAGTAACACGTGAACACAATAGTGTTTTACACAGAGATTCTGAGGAAAAGGAAAAATAAGACCAGGTGTTCTGGAATGGTAAGCAATTTTTGCTTCATCAGCGACACAAGCAATGTCAATCTTGGTAAATCCAAGTAAGTCGTGTCACGTTCCCAAAGAGAACATTGTAAACAACAGAATCAACAGGTATAATACCGAGCAACAAACACGTCCAACGTCATGTCGCATTAGAATTTTCTTCACAGTGAGATCATCATGAACACCGAAAATCTTCCTATCATTTTCATCATTCTGTATCTCCCGAAACCCTGTATTGTGAATTTGTCTATCAGTTACAGATATATCGCAGGAAAATCGAGATGCAGAGAACAACAAACCCTTGAATATTTTATCAAATGCAACACGCAACGGGGTGAAGATGCAGGGTGAAGCTCTCCGAAAACTTCACAGTAGGTAAATTAGATCATCGCATTTATCATACAGCTTTGTGGGAAGGTGTCCATATTGATCGCGGTGTCTTAAAATATATAGGAAGAGTTTGTTGTGTCCGTGCTTTCCAATTGAGGTGAATATGTATGTTGGAAAGTAAATTCTTTTGATTTAAAGACAGGATGTGTATATATCTGAAAATGAAATGAAATTACATCGATTATAACGCAGAACTATAATAAACCGTTTAAATGCACACAGTTGATTATGTAGCAGAATGTAAGACTCCCTTGTAATATACAGTAAATCATGTAGAGTAATCATATTTTGTAATATTACAATGCGGAGATACCAATGTAATGGAATTGTAACTCTCTGTTGTAATACACTCAGTTAACAATGTCGCAGAATTATAACACATTTGAAATACACACTGTTTATTATGTGACAGCATTATAACGCTCTTGTACACTCAGTTAACAATTCACAGAATTATAACACATTTGTAATACACACTGTTTATTATGTGACAGCATTATAACGCTCTTGTACACTCAGTTAACAATTCACAGAATTATAACACATTTGTAATACACACTGTTTATTATGTGACAGCATTATAACGCTCTTGTTGTACACTCAGTTAACAATGTCGCTGAAATATTACACATTTGAAATACACACATTTTATTATGTGACAACATTATAAAACGCTTGTAATACATTCAGTTAACAACGTAGCAGAATGTTTACATCCTCTTTTAATAGACACAGTTAACCGTGTAGAAGAATCATAACCCTCTCTTATGATACACAGAAAGTTATAACAATTTTTTGTTATAAATACTTTATTAACCATATAGCCGAATGTTAACCCCTTTTTACAATACAGTAAATCATGTAGCAGAATTAGATCAGTCTCTTGTAACATAACACAGTTAACTGTGGAGCAAAATTAGAACACTCTCTTGTCCTAAACAAGAGTACGTTATGTAGAATTAGTATAATTTAATGTAATGAACCAGTTAAACAGTATCCATGTTTTAAGATTGGGTTTATTTAATAAATTTAACACAATTATTGGTAGTGGAGAACTTATCTATGTTATATCATCAAAAAACCAAATAATTTGTATGCCAAATGTAGAATACATCTGAATCTACGATATCTATGAAGCTTTTCAAAAGTATTATAACGCTGACATTAGGTAATTCTCGCTGTTAAAGCAAAGAGAAACTTGAAGGAGTATGCTCAAACATTTAAAACATTTATTTGAAACAAGAATGTCAGTGGTATATTATAATGAAATTCTATATTTAATAGTGAAAACGCTTCATCCATAATAAACAGAAAATCTATCACGCATAGTGGGGGTAGATTTCCGTTGGGTGTACTCGTTACATTCCTTTTTAAAGGTTTCATTCTACAAGAAATTGTTAATGAATGATTAGAATGATTCAAAAGTCTAAAACATTAGAGAGTTTGTTCACGACACAATCATTGCTTTTCAAACCCGTAGATATCTAATGATATTCCGAATTTCAGAGTGCACACACAGTGTGCAGTATCTGTATGCTAAATTCTATCACAGAATCTTCTTTACCCTTCGTTCTCAACCAATACCTGAGTACCAGTAACGTCTTTCGTCACATCATGTATTGGAATGATTTTCGATCCTCCATTCATTATGCGAAAAACCCTGAAATAGAATGACACACACAAAAAACTTATTCGAGGACGTTACCATCTGACCAATTCTTTAGTAATAAACTTATGGTGGGGCTTAATCATTGGACGTCAGGCTCCCCTTTATAAAATATAACGTCAAAGGTCCCGAACTGGGACTTTTTTCATTTATTCGATGCAGTATTTAAATTTTGAAATTTGAACATTCATTTTAGCATTACTTCGATCTTATATGTTGTTTATGAAACTAGATTTAAGAGCAGAAAGTAGAGACATGTAAAAATCACCTATACAGAAAAGAATGTTCCCGTATTTTCTTTTTAAAAGATATTTCGTGTGACGCTCTGGTATCGAATAACAATGGATGTGAATACTTCTACAAGGATTGAATCAATAACACTGTTAAATTTCAATTTAGGTAACTTTTTAATATTTTGGTAACCTTGGAAATGGCAATATTGAATATTTGGAACCAGATATATGTGTAAAAAGTGATCAATTTTACCACATAATGACTAAAAATGTGTATACTACACTATCCCCGTCTGGAAAAAACTTTAAATAACGAATTAAAAGCAATCTAGTTTATACCGAATACAAAACAGATATATCACACAAAAAAAGGTGATTTGGTAACCCTTTAATAAAAGAATGATATAATCTTTGTAATAAAAAAGCAAATGCATACTACCACATGAAGAACCATTAGAGAATCAGGGTAAGGATAGTGTATACTTACATCAAAAGACATGCTGTTATTAGGGACAAACCACCAAACACGAGGAAAACGAAGCTCCGCATGATACCAATAGTTGCCACGTAGATGGTCGACGCTCCAACATTGCTTCCAAGGTTTGCCGCTATTTCTACCACAGCTATTCCCGCGAATAGGGCACCTACATTAGCAAATAATTGGTATCTATAATGGTTATAACGTCATACAGATATAATGATATGGAAAGAAAACCACACGCGAGCAAATAATGCAATCTAATTGATAAATTAAGTGGTTATAAAACCAGATATACGTGGAAAGAAAAGCGATAGCATACTGATGTTGATATGAATGCGTAATGACAAATGAAACAAAAGACTGCCACATAAAGCTGGATGCATACTAATAAAAGGTATGTAGAGATGTCCTCAGACTAAAAATAACTTTTCAGAAAACAACTGATATTATGAGTTCTAATTATTTTGAAACATTAAATATATATATCAAATTGCAAATAATGTAGAAATCAGTATTCATACTGACATATAAACAGACCTGTGTTAATGTGTTTGTATAGACGAATCCTGCTACGCATGTTGCATTATTGCATTGTGACATCTAGGTTTGCAACAAGGCAAACCAAAGTTTTGTTTAATGATCGTTGTGAATTTTATTGCGCCACATACCCTGTCTTTCCGGAGGTGTAAGCTTGGATAACATAGATCTGATCATCGGGAATACCAACGCACTCAGGAAACCTATCGCTGGAGCTGAAACATTAATAATGCATTGTATGTTTTATTTCATAGATAAGATTTAATTTGTACTTCGTAACAATTGAAAGGAAACAATTAGAAAAACGAAATAGATATCAGCATTCTTAATGCAGCATTGGTTTAATCCAATTGATGACGGACAAGGATCTTGAGGATTCGGACATTTTGTGATGTTGCATTGTTTTGGGTTCAGATTATTATCGATATCGGCATTGTTTGGCAGCATTAAATCATGAAGTGAATTAATTTGAACTTACATAGAAAGAGCATAAGGTCACTGACGGCAAATGCCTCAACAAGACAAGCTACCAACGAAGAGACGGCACTAAAAACTGCGATAATTTCCTCCACAAAAATTTTTTGCAGGATTTTGACTGTGGCTACACCTAAAATCATCGAGGCGGAAGTCGATATGGCCGAGTAATATCCAACGTATACAGATGTCCAACAAAATGGTGCATTCAACTGGTACAAAATTTCCGTATTTTGTTTACCCAAAAGGGAAAGCGCACCAATCAGGAAAGTAATTATTGCGAGTACATATTTGTATCTCGAAGGAGACGCTCGAAAATAAAATGTGAAAGATGCGCGTGCATTTTCGAAGATTGAAGTGTCTGATAACAACCTTACGGGAGGGCGTGACGGCGGAAGAAACAGTACAACTACCAACATGGCACTGGCCGCTGATGCAGAAACACATAAACTTGCATAAAAGAATCCAATACTACTAAGAATGTATCCGGAAATAATTCCCGATAGTGCCGCGCCAACTCCCACGGAGGCTTCAAGAAGAGTTATCATCAAAGTCCGTTGTCTTCCTGGAATTGTTACATCCGAAATATAGGCGAATCCAATGGACAGTGCCCCAAATAGACCGCCTCCTATACTGTACAGTGTGCTGCTGATAATGAAATAGTAAACATCGATCTCAAAGTAAATGACAACACTGGAAAAACATGTCGATAAAACAAAACACGTTGTAGTAAATGAAAGAATCCGTGTTCTCCCAAACTTGTCACTAAGGCCACCAATGATCCCGCTTGTTATAAGAGCAGGTATTGTTTCAGCAAGTTTTGTGAAGATATTGAGACGAGATGCACTTTTCTCAACCGCTGTCCTCTCACGGTATGATTCTGTCGATTTGTTAACGTTGCAGGCGGACCCATCTGAAGAAGACAAACTGGAGTTGGGAAACAAGTCAGCCTCTAGGTAGCTGAATACATACTGAGTTGACACCAACGACGAGAGAACCAAACTAAACATAATTAGCATTAACGCTACTCCAAGCATTCCGTGCGACCACCTCAGGGTACCGTGCTGGGAATGAGGCTTTTCCATCATGGAATTGTATAATGCCAATTTTATGCCTAGAATGGAAAGTCAATGCATGCAGTTATTATACAGATACGTATTTAAGCAATAAATCCAAAAAAATTGCAAGATGAAGCGTGGAAACCGAAACATTTAACATAAGGATGACGAAGTGTAGAAACCAAAATATTTCATATAAGGTTGATGAAGCGTAGAAACCGAAACATTTAACATGAGGAGCGTGGACCAAAACATTTAACATAAGGTGAAGTGTGAAGTAAGATCAGAGTTCAAAGCATTAAATGTACAATGTACCACACTTAAAGTGGTAACTTAATGATTTAACATAAGGTTGATGAAGCGTGGTAACCGAAACATTTAACATAAGGCTGACGAAGTGTGGAAACCAAAATATTTCACATAAGGTTGATGAAGCGTAGAAACCGAAACATTTAACATGAGGATGATGAAGCGTGGAAACCGAAACATTTAACATAAGGTTGATGAAGCGTGGAAACCGAAACATTTAACATAAGGTTGATGAAGCGTAGAAACCGAAACATTTAACATAAGGATGATGAAGCGTGGAAACCGAAACATTTAACATAAGGTTGATGAAGCGTGGAAACCGAAACATTTAACATAAGGCTGACGAAGTGTAGAAACCAAAATATTTCACATAAGGTTGATGAAGCGTGGAAACCGAAACATTTAACATAAGGTTGATAAAGCGTGGTAACCGAAACATTTAACATAAGGTTGATGAAGAAGAAACATTTAACATAAGGCTGACCAAACCGAAACATTTAACATAAGGCTGACGAAGTGTGGAAACCAAAATATTTAACATAAGGTTGATGAAGCGTGGAAACCGAAACATTTAACATAAGGTTGATGAAGCGTGGAAACCGAAACATTTAACATAAGGTTGATGAAGCGTGGAAACCGAAACATTTAACATAAGGCTGACGAAGTGCAGAAACCAAAATATTTCATATAAGGTTGATGAAGCGTAGAAACCGAAACATTTAAATAATTGCAGAAACCAAAATACATAAGGTTGATGAAGCGTGGAAACGAAACAAACATTTAACATAAGGATGATGAAGCGTGGAAACCGAAACATTTAACATAAGGTTGATGAAGCGTGGTAACCGAAACATTTAACATGAGGTTGATGAAGCGTGGAAACCGAAACATTTAACATAAGGTTGATGAAGCGTGGAAACCGAAACATTTAACATAAGGTTGATGAAGCGTGGAAACCGAAACATTTAACATAAGGATGACGAAGTGTGGAAACCAAAATATTTAACATAAGGTTGATGAAGCGTGGTAACCGAAACATTTAACATAAGGTTGATGAAGCGTGGTAACCGAAACATTTAACATAAGGTTGATGAAGAGAGGAAACCGGAACGTAAGTTTGAAGAATGGAGGAAATCATCTGTGATATTAAGCAATTAATTTCGTATTGTGAGTATTAAACGTACTACTATAGCTCACCTCATTTGACTGAACAGTTTACCCAGATGGAAGCAAGGCAAAACACCGAACAATAAACAAGTAATGGTGAATACAGGATGTCCGTATTAAAAATATACAAATGAACGTGACGATGAAAAGAAACACAGACGTATCACATGAGCTCCCTACAACATCACTTGAACTTGTTGTTATCTCGGTCACTCAGGCTATCGTGTGAAAATACAGACTAACAAATTTAAAAGTCACAGCCAAAATCTGGACGCATCAATATGAGTCTAGTAAGAGATTTCACCTGCACGGACTGTATCAGATTTGTAATATATAATGAGGTGAAATGTACAAGGTTTTGATAACACACTATCTTTGCTATTTACGGATGAACATCCTTGATTACACTCGTGTGAATGCTAAACATAAACTAATGACAGACAACAAATCGGTGACTCGAGTGTATACCTCACCGATATAGCAATATCACGTGTAAACTTTGTTTACATAATATCCGATAACCGCTATTTCAGTATTGCTGTTATTGACGCGACCAAATTGCTATCCGAGAAACTCAAATAAAAACAGTTAACATATTTGTGATATCAACATTTTAATAACAATAAAATATTTCAGCCACTGCCTTAGATTTTTTTTAATGCTGTATAATCCTATTTCTTTACAAACAAAACCAAGCAAATGAAAATTGAACCCATTAAATGACAATAAATTACAAAATAAAACACCACTACTGAAAAATCTTGTTTGTAGTCATAAACATTAAAATATCTTCAAATCAACGGATATGAAATTTAGCGTTAAATCTCATAATTGAAAAGCAAGTAGAATTTAAGAGTAAAAGGCTGATTTTAAGCAATGGACATCAGACTTTGACTTCCTTAAATCTTATTCCATGACGTCTAAAGCACTTTGTAGATAATGCGGAGTCGGAAGAACATTCGAAATGAGCAAATAATCTTCAAATTACTTTCCGACTAAATGATTTGTAACTTAGTGTCTAAGTGACAACTGTTTAAATGTTGTTTTGGAACCCTTTCACTTAAAATCATATCAATAGCAAACTCTAAATGTTTCCACTTGGAATCATTCTATATTAACAGGGAAGTCTAAAAATGAAGAAGTGTCCTACAAATACAAAACAGTAAACATGGAACTATTTAATGGGAATCTTCCAAGAAAATTATATATATATTCTCAGAGTCTGGGTTAATAGCGCTAATGCTAAACGATCGCGTTTCGAATTATTTTTTACACACACACACACACACACACCTACACCCTCTCTCTCTCTCTCTCTCTCTCTCACACACACACAACCACCACCATCCCCCCCACACACACACACGTACACGCACACACATATTATATCTGCATATATAATTGAAATAGGTATTAAATGATACGGGTATCATCTGATCTGGCAGAGCAGAGCTAAAAACAACAACAACAAAAAAAAAAAAAAAACACAGAAAACACACACACAAAACAAAACAAAAGCAAAAACAAAAAGACAATACCGACATGTCAACAGAGTCTCAATTTAAACTCAAGTCGAAAAATCAAAGGCAAAATATTTATTTACATGTTAACCTTGGTGAATCCAAGTTAGCAATGTCACAATCCCAAATAAAATACAGAGTAAACAACAAAGAAATCACTAGGCGTACTAACGAGTTTCAACCACGTGGCAGTAAACGAAACAAGAATGGTGTTAATGTTACCCTGGTAGGGGTTATATATACTAGTTCAAAATGCAGAGTTGTTTTCCTGTTTTGGGGGTTGAAGATTTGGGAGTTTTCAGGGGTTAATAAATAAGCACATTGAGCATACCTTCAGACAATGAATTAGAATCATCCCATACTGAATGCCATGACAATTCGGAAATAATGATAGTATTTATATCAATCCGTTCCAAATAAGTATTTCATTAATTTAGGCATGAACGCATCACCACTGTATACCTCGTATAGATCTTTATATAAGCACATGTACAAGCATATTACAGTTATTATATTGATGTAGGTGGGGAGAGGAAAGATATTTGAAATACGAGGAATTTTTTACACTTGAATACAATATTCTCATCATATGTACCCTACATTTGTATGAAACCGTAAACGGTATACATAGAAAAGCTGTAATCCAAATATAGCGGAATTTGCGAAATGTACACAGTAGTCCAGGACACCAATTCGAGCACAGTAGAGAGATACGTCAATTTGCATTGTGTAATCGAAGAACAGGCACGAAGGCAAAAGAGCACTCGAAGAGGCGTCGTGATGATGGATATAGTCGGAGGCACACTGGGCAGCAGGGGAGAAAGGGGACATAAAGAAAGAATTGTATGAGGCTTGGCTGCTACATTTTCACTGACGTTATACCATCCGTCATGCCTCAAGGACAGTAAACCTCTTTGTGTGACGAGATTTAAACATCTTCATGATATTTTGCAATTACTCAAATTGAGATTGACCTACTGTGATTTCGTTTTTTCTTTCTTTCTTTTTAATTCAATCTCTTGCTTCCTTCAAAATTAATAAGCACAGTATATTCGTCATGATGATGTATCTCCCAGGTAGGAATCAGGCCTTTCTCCCTATGGTGTCTCTTACACTTCCGCCTCCTTCTAACTAGTTCTCTTACAACGGTAAAGTCTGCGAAAACAAACATGAAGTGTTGTTTTTATTTGATAAAAGAATGGGTTCCTGGACAAAATAATTAAGGTGAGCTAGTTCTTGATAGTTTTAAGTTATTTCATTTAAAATGACAGAATATAAAACTTTACAATACTTACAGCAGAAGGCCTATAGAGAGTACAGAGAATGCAGCATACACAAGGAAAGCCGTTCCTCGGAACATCTCGATAGTGTTTATGTAGATGATCTTGACTACAACATTGGCTGTCAAACTGACACATATCTCCATAACAGCCAATCCCGCAAATAAGGCACCTGATGGTGGGAAAATGCAACATTTGTACGTTTTAGTTTAGCTTCCTCGACATAAAAAGAGCTGGCGTGTTACATTTTATTTGCGTCTTGCGATCGTTAAGTTAACGGGTAAAAGTTCATTGTCCTGAAAAAGTTCTGGAAGATTTTAATACTACCAGTTAAATTGGAAGCTTTACTAGTTCCAAGATTTTCTAGTTATACTTTGGCGATATACAAGTATTACCTTGTTGGTGAGGTGGCGTTATTTTGGACATGATAGCTCGCATCATCGGGATAGTGAGTATACTTAGCACCGCAAACAACGGGACTGAAACAGACATATAAATCTAGTAGTCTACAAGTAGTGCTTTGTGGAAAAACAACTTAATGACTATATTATTTTAGACTTCATCTATTTAAGAACAATTATGAAACAAGTAACTGGAAAAGCAAGATTCTGAAAATACCTTTTGATAGTTAGATCACCAGAATAGGCAAATAATGAATTAAAGCGTTGCCTGCAATCTCGAAGACTGCACAGAAGCTACAAAAGAGAATGGCCCAAAAATCACCTCTTTTTGGCGCGAAGGGAAGACTGCGAGGGGTCTTACAGAGGAAAAAACGGAATATCCATAGAAACCCCATGTGGTCGGGCGTGTGACCACGCGTTTTTCACGTCCGTTGGGAGAAAATTAATCATTGATATTTAGGTGAAAAGTAAGCGCGTTAACACTGCGCCATCCGACCGCACATTTAATGGACATCATCATCAAAACCAATACTTACCTAAGAAAAGTGTCAGATCATTGTATGCAAACGCTTCTAATATACAGGAAGTAGCATTAGATAGGGCACTCAATATAGCGATGACTTCTTCTGCGAAGAAACGTTGTAGAAGTTTGATGGCTGCTATTCCAACAAGCATACTTGAGGCGACTGAAAGCGACACAAAATGTCCTATCTTCACTGGAGACCAACAAAATGGAGTGTTAAGTGCATACAAGATTTCAATTCTACTCTTTCCTAGTCTAGATAAACACGCCAATACAAATGTGGCACCACATATGATATACACGAATCTCTTCTTGGAAGATCGAAAATAAAACTCAAAGGCTGCCTTGGCTGTGCCACATGTAGCTGTCGCACCACGGGTTGTTCCTTGGTTAGCGATATCTGTGCTCCTGTCACCATAATTAGTTTCGTTGTCTTTGGAGAGTGTGGTTCTTCTGTAGGATTGTGTGGTAGTGTTACTGGTATAGCTCGTTATGTTTAAGAGAGAATCTGGCAGGGGAAACACCACTACTAGAACTGCCGCTAATACCAAGAAACAGGAACACAGGCTGGTATAAAAATAGCCAAACTTTTCAATGATATATCCGGACACAAGTCCGGAAACGGTCATTCCAAGTCCGATGGATGCATCCAATAACGTGATAAACAGGCTTCTTGGCCTTCCTGCTTCAGTTATATCAGACACGTATGCAAAGCCAATTGATAAGGCGCCATAAATCCCTCCACCCACATTGTTTATGACGGCAAAAAGTATAAACAGGTTGATATCAAATGAACATTTTACTCCAATTGTTGTGAGTAGAATTCCGAGTAAAGTAAAAGTGACATTAACAAATAAAGCCCTCCTACGCCCATACCTGTCACTCAACGAACCAAGAACACTGCTCGCGAGTATGGCTGGCACAGCCTCAGCTATTGTCTTGTACATGTCCCACTTCGCTGTAGTCTGCTGCACGGTCGTCCTCTCTAGATAACTTTCGGAGGACTTGTTCACATCACAAATAGATGTGTGTTTATTATCGAACGCTGAAGAGTTCGGAAATTTTCTGGAAGCTATGGTCTGGTAGACATATTGCGTTATGGACAACCCGTACAATTCCACTGCAAGTGAAAGGAACAGAAGAGTCACAGCGATAAACAGATGGCGCAGTCTGTATCTAATGGTTGGTACATTGATGAGGGGTTCATGTTCTTCCATGGCGTCTTCTGGTTTAACACGTTAACACGAGAGATGAAGTCGACGAAGAATAACTTCCGCAACTTTGTATATCCCAGCTGATTATATCCTGATTCGTAACACAATCTATAAAAAGACAACATTTTCTTAGTGTTTCAAGTCTAGAGTATACTTATTGACGACACAGCTGAGAGGACCAGTTAAGCAACATTCTCAAGTAGCTAGCCCACAATGTGTAGTATAATAAGAGATCTATAAGGACGCCCTGTAACTGTTATTACATAATACGCCTGTCCTACAGTAAATTCACCCATGTGACATGTTACCAGTGTAATGTACCATGGAAAGTTTTTCATGCGCTCCGCCAGTCACAAATTAATTGTGTTGTTATAACTGACAATGACGTTACATTATAAATTGTATATGGTGCATCAAAATGGCCGCCATGCTCATCATTTCTTCGTTATTCTGTGTTATTAGAAACTGTAGATTTACGTTACCATCAAAACGAAAATCACAACTTACTCAGAGAGTGACTAGATCCTTCATTACGAGACTGATAGTTACATTATCACTACTCATAATAGATATCGACATAACGAGACTGACAGTTACACTATTAGTACTCATAACAGATATCGACATAACGAGACTGACAGTTACACTATTAGTACTCATAATAGATATCAACATAATAAGACCGACAGTTACAGCGATACTCATTATCAAAACAACCGTTATCACGAGACTGACAGTACAGTGTTATTTGCATGACGGTTACAGTGTTAATGACAGTTACAATGTTACTAGACTGACAGTTACAGTATTACTAAACTGACAATTACAGTGTTACTAGCATGACAGTTACAGTGTTATTTGACTGACAGATACAGTATTACTAGATTGACAGAGTGTTACTAGACTGGCAGTTACAATGTTACTAGACAAACAGTTACAGTGTTACTAGACTGACAGTTACAGTGTTACTAGACTGACAGTTACAGTGTTACTGACAGTAACAGTGTTACTAGACTGACAGTTACAGTATTACTGACAGTTACAGTGTTACTAGACTGACAATTACAATGTTACTAGACTGATAGTTACAGTATTACTAGATTGACAGTTACAGTGCTACTAGACTGACAGTTACAATGTTACTGACAGTTTCAGTGTTACTAGACTGACAGTTACAGTGTTACTAGACTGACACTTACAGTGTTACTAGATTGACAGAGTGTTACTAGACTGACAGCTATAATGTTACTGACAGTTACAATGTTACTTCATTTGCAGTTACAGTGACAGTTACAGTATTACTAGATTGACAGTTATGGTATTATTAGACTGACAGCTACAATATTACTAGACTTACAGTTACAGTGTTACTAGACTGACAGTTACAGTGTTACTGACAGTTACAGTGTTACTAGACTGGCAGTTACAGTGTTACTAGACAAACAGTTACAGTGTTACTAGACTGACAGTTACAGTGTCACTGACAGTTACAGTGTTACTAGACTGACAGTTACAGTGTTACTAGACAAACAGTTACAGTGCTACTAGACTGACAGTTACAGTGTTACTAGACTAACAGTTACAGTGTTACTGACAGTTACAGTGTTACTAGACTGACAGTTGCAATGTTACTATACTTCAGTTACAATGTTACTAAACTGACAATTACAATGTTACTAGATTGACAGTTACAATGTTACTTGACTGGCGGTGACAGTATTACTAGACTGACAGTTTCAATGTTACTAGACTGACAGTTACAATGTTACTAGACTGACAGTTGCAGTGTTACTGACAGTTACAATGTTACTAGACTGACAGTTGCAGTGTTACTAGACTGACAGTTACAGTGTTACTGACAGTTACAGTGTTACTAGACTGACAGTTACAGTGTTACTAGACTGACAGTTATGGTATTATTAGACTGACAGCTACCGTTTTACTAATTTTAACAAATACCGTCGTATCGAGACTGACGGCCACAGTGTTACTAATTATAACAAATGCCGTCATAACGATACTGACAGCTACAGTGTTACTAATAATAGCAAATGCCGTCATAACGAGACTGACAGTTACAGTGTCACTAATTATCACAAATGCCGTCATAACGAGACTGACAGTTACAGTGTCACTAATTATCACAAATGCCGTCATAACGAGACTGACAGTTACAGTGTCACTAATTATCACAAATGCCGTCATAACGAGACTGACAGTTATATTGTATTGTTATAAAAGTGATGATTGACGGCTATGTTATATCATTCATTAGACCGATAACACTTATAACGAGGCAGACAGTTACAATGTATACTCGTCATATCTGGTCCGTCATTACAAGATAAATGTAGCCATTTCAATGGGTTACTAATTAGACCAAGTTTCACCCTAACGAGACGATCAGTTACAAAGTGTTAGTAATCAGATCTAGTCACGTAATTACGGTATTTTTTGTCAGTGAGTTATCTAGTCACGTAATTACGGTATTTATTGCCAGTGATTTATCTAGTCACGTAATTACGGTATTTATTGTCATTGAGTTATCTAGTCACGTAATTACGGTATTTACTGCCAGTGAGTTATCTAGTAACGTAATTACGGTATTTATTGTCAGTGAGTTATCTAGTCACGTAATTACGGTATTTATTGTCATTGAGTTATCTAGTCACGTAATTACGGTATTTATTGTCATTGAGTTATCTAGTCACGTAATTACGGTATTTACTGCCAGTAAGTTATCTAGTCACGTAATTACGGTATTTACTGCCAGTGGGTTATCTAGTCACGTAATTACGGTATTTATTGTCGGTGAGTTATCTAGTCACGTAATTACGGTATTTATTGTCATTGAGTTATCTAGTCACGTAATTACGGTATTTATTGTCAGTGAGTTATCTAGTCACGTAATTACGGTATTTACTGCCAGTGAGTTATCTAGTCACGTAATTACGGTATTTACTGCCAGTGGGTTATCTAGTCACGTAATTACGGTATTTATTGTCAGTGAGTTATCTAGTCACGTAATTACGGTATTTATTGTCAGTGAGTTATCTAGTCACGTAATTACGGTATTTATTGCCAGTGAGTTATCTAGTCACGTAATTACGGTATTTATTGTCATTGAGTTATCTAGTCACATAATTACGGTATTTATTGTCGGTGAGTTATCTAGTCACGTAATTACGGTATTTATTGCCAGTGAGTTATCAATTAGATCTAGTATAGTCATAACGAGACTAATAATTACTGTGTTTCTTATCATAACGAGTCGCGTTATTACGAAGCTAGATTTAGATCTAGTATCTTCATAAGGAAATAGACGGATAGGCTGTCGATATTACAGTTGAGATATCTAAAGTCACAAAATAATTTCACTACGCGACGTCGCATCTTTACATGTGATTAACCATCTATTACTTAAATTTCAATTATCTATGCAACAAGTTAGTTTTATCCATAGTCCTAACTTTATATGCTAGCGTTTTTTGTCTTGAAACCTTAAAAATCGTACACTTACCTCGATCATACGATAACCTATCTTTGCGTCCTCGTATCTTCAAATGAAATAATAACGAACATTTCCCTCTTGTTGATATGGAAATTCCACTTTCAGGTTCTTCCGGTTTCGCCAGTGCATAAGGTACCGCATAGGAGCTACTAGACTAGAACAGAACACCTTATGTATTTGATTGCCTTATATTCAGACAAGGATGTAGAAAGTCATCAGTATACATACCTGCTTAGTGTCAGGAAGTAATGTCATCGTTGTTAGGTTATCACAGGCAGTGTGGTAAAATGAGACCGAGAACGCGATCAGATCAGCATTGGGAATCCAAATATCGAAAACTACTCATATATTGTGATGGGAATTTGGTGTTCGCTTTTTCAACATATAGAATAGACAATCATGCCTGCTAATTGAGAACATGTATCATTTATTTCATTTAATAATTATCAGGACCCCTTTTATATTATGGCAAAGTTACTGATACAGCTCTAGTTGTAGTTTTTTTTTATGACTTTATTAATTATAAAGTGTCTCGTCAGCCGGATAAGGCTGGATCTCGCCCATGTGTTAAATTTCGTGATATCTGATTACATTTTAGAGTATTTGTGATACTATAAAATAAGGTTGTATTGTAATCCTAAGCTCTGTATCATATACATAATTGTGTCGTCCTTGTTATCACAAATAACAAGAGGTCTAGTTAGCCTTGACGGTCAATATTGACCATAAAGTTACAGGGTAAGTAGCTTTTAAATAGTCATAAAAAAGAAATTGTGACGTGTTGAGAGTAAACCAGTGTCAATGTATGCTCACCATGAAAACTCATCCTGTACTGACAATTCTTACCAAGTTGTTCCCAATAAAAATTATATAGATTATGCTCAAAAACCCATTTCCTATATGAAGTATAGTAAACTTTTGCCCCTCCCCTGGGGGAAATGTGGGACCCCGGGACCATGAAATTCACAATTTTGGTTAAGCACCTTAGGACGCTTCCATCCATATAGAACAATTAATTATAACATATCTGGGTGTTGAGAGGATTTTTAGAATTTAAGAAGATTTCATCTTTTTTGGCCGTGCGCATCAGCCCCTCGGACCCAGCCATGATCAACGTGCACATGCCATCAAGCCATCATCCTAAAGCCTTGGACCATGAAATTCACCACTTTGTTCAAACGATTTTAACACGCTGCTATCTACGAAGAGCATTTGATTCTAGGAATATATTTTGTGTCATAATAAAAGCTCGGATTATCTCCCCTTGCCCTAAGATCTATTTGAACGCAGTATGGCTGGATTTCTGTCAATTTCAGCATTTAACTACTGCTCCTTTCTTTTCGTACGAACAAAAGAGAAATGAAGTGAACTTCAAATATATCTTTCCACCATGCTGTTTCGTTCAATGGAATTCTTGTTACTGTCTTTGCTCCGACAATGGGGTATTATCAAGAGGGTATAGTGTAAGTAGGTGGTATGGGATTAAAGAAAAGACTCGTAACAGAGTCAGAATAACCGGAACAATTAAAAATAATCCAACAAGACTACGAAGAGATGAATGAGGTAAATACATCGTCTGTTGCAACAACAGACCAGTCATTGTGCTATCAAGTTCCACACAAATAGATATTCTTTCTACGTAAATGTTGTAATCGTCGAGTACCAGAAAGGGAGCTGGGGTTAATTAAGCTTGTGCTATTCAGGACGAAGTAATACAACCATGTCTTGACTCTCTCCAGTTTATTTAATGGAAAGCAATTTGTAACTTGTTCATTTGCTCTGCATTCAGCTCTAGGGATAGCGACAGACTCCAGTAAATTTACTTTTAATCAGAGCTGTTTGCCAGATCATATAAAAACATAAAAGCAGTGGCTTTGCAAGCAGATGGTCGAGATTAGAATATCTTTTTTTTTTACATTGGCCATTGGTTGGTTCCAATAATTGATACATGCTATCATTTTGAAAATAGTTCTTTAATCCAAACATGACAATGTCTGGCCAATCTTGCGGATAACTCCGACATCATTACAGGTTTATACAAAAACGTCTATGGGAAACCTTACCACTTCCTAGCTATAGTATCAAACGCAATTATGTGGCAATTTGATATTATGCTCTCAATAAAGTGATAATTTCGTTTGGGTTTGATGAATTGGCTGACCTAACCGGACAATGGATAATCTTCTAGTAAGCCGCATCCTTGTTACATTCACCTGACCATTCTGCCACATCTGGATATCGAGTACAATAATCACCGTATCGAGATATGTATGTGAAGGACTTTATTTACTGCAACTAATTGGAACATTTCAGATTTACATCGATTGACGATCACCAACTTCATCTCGTTGAGAATCACACCGTATTGACAAACGTTAACTTTATATGCCTAGATGTATAGTTTTACGCTCGAATGGGTATATTGTAGAAATGGTTCGTTACGGTTATAGTGATCTTACCAATAGTTTCAAGCAACTTAGGATCAGGACTTCCCTCATAAATGTTTATTTTCAGGGGTTCCGTTTTAGAGATTTCACTACCGCGGTTGCCGAATGGTACAAGCGTCTGACGGTGTTTTTCACTAGTCCTCCATCTCCGTATTGCTGGTTTGAGGACGACGATTAAGTTAGGATAAAGTAGCACCAAACAATGGATAAAATTGCATCATACAGACGTTTCGTCATCCTATGACTCGTCAGTGATGTTACATCATACAGCCGTTTCGTCATCCTAGGACTCGTCAGTGATGATACATCATACAGCCGTTTCGTCATCCTAGGACTCGTCAGTGATGTTACATCATACAGCCGTTTCGTCATCCTATGACTCGTCAGTGATGTTACATCATACAGCCGTTTCGTCCTTCAAGGACTTGGCAGTGATGTTACATCATACAGCCGTTTCGTCATCCTACGACTCGTCAGTGATGTTACATCATACAGCCGTTTCGTCATCCTATGACTCGTCAGTGATGTTACATCATACAGCCGTTTTATCCTTCAAGGACTTGGCAGTGATGTTCCTTCATACAGCCATTTCGTCATTCTAGGACTCAGCAGTGATGTTACATCAAACAACCGTTTCGTTCTTCCAGGACTCGTCAGTGATGGTACATCATACAGCCGTTTCGTCCTTCCAGGACTCGGCAGTGACACCAGAGACCTAGATATCGAAGCCTAGGAGGCGACTGAGGAAATTCCAAAGTGATTGAAATAAATCAAAATCTAGACGGGGATGTGCAGCATCGTAATTTTGATATATCAGATAAAATTAGAACGTGTATATTTTGAACCGTGCCAACATGTGAATGAATTAAAACATGGCATAAAGCTTACGGCCAACCTCTGCGATTTATTCCACCAGCGGTGTCTACCACCTGCACAAAATTTACAAATGAATAGCACCTTTAAATAACGTAAAGAGTTAGACACAGTACAGTCAATGCATATAGCTTTTTTGTCCTAGCGTTCGTCAGTGTTATCATTAGCGGCAAGTAATTCAGTCACATAAAAAGCTGAACTGAACCTTGTCTGAAAACTTGCAACACTCTATAATACTATGCTTAGTATCATCAAGATATGCAACACGCGACATTCATTGTTAAATAATACTTTGTCATAAAGTTTCTTTGCCATATATAACCGAACTCTTTTCCTGAAGGGGTGCAACTCATGTGCCATTTCCACGCATCTCGACATATATACAAATCGAGAAATTACCAAAAGATTGAATTAACACATATATCACAGAAACATGTCATTGTAATTGACAAAGTATCAGTTATCTGAATATTTTAAATTTCTCGCCTCAGGTGTTCAAGTCAATGATTATAAATGGTATTTTGATACCTACTCTAGTCAATATAACTGTAACTTAGATGTTGGCATATTGTCCAAGTAAACTATCTCCGTTTTGGGAAACAGCCGTCGACATATTTGATGCTCAATACCCTAGCTTCCGGATAATCGGAACAGCGATTATATGCTATTTTCGGGGAACTGTTTGATTGGCCATAGTAAGGTTATCAAGACTGGTCAGTGCTGTAGAGAGGTAGCATAAATTTAAAGATGGTGAACGTGTTCGAGATGAGGACCAGTGCAAAGGATGTAGTTGACGTTTGAGAAGTGGACCAGTACTGTGTTGCAGCTGAAGACAGTGAACGTGTTTCATGAACGAACACGTGTATACATTGAAGGTGGTGCGCTATAATTGGGCCCGTGTTGACAATGGGACGTGCAACGTCATATACTAATGTTAAACAACATCAATGTTTTATGCAAAACGTAGATCGTTTAGTATGGCGAATTCTTGTCCTATGGATAAGTTTCGTCCATCAATTCGTTTAGAATTGGTCATTGTCAGAAAGGGGAAAAAATTGGCTCGGACACGTATAAATATCGTAAAGATCTGTTTACTTCACTCCTTGAGCAATATTAGCGAGAAACCGAATTAATTTAAGGTCATACAACTAAAAATGCAGTACAGAGTAAAGAAACCACCAAACGAAGGATCTGGAGAAATCGGCAAGATGCAGGGTGTACTGTGCAGTTTGTTCTCGATATGGAGAGAAGATGAAATTGAGCAAACTGGATACGTTGGTGTTCAGTAAAAACTGAAGATTGCTAAAAACCATGGATACTGTCGAACATTATAAAGACAGTTTCATTCCTTGTCAAGAAAACTAAATCCTGAGCTAAAATCAAGATTAATGCTTTTATTAATATCAGTTCTATATCTGTGTAATGACGCAGTCAAACTTAGCCTTGTCATTCAATACTGAAGGTTTGACAATTCATTCGTCCAAATTGCAATTTCGTTTCGGGACTTTTTTAGCCACTTTAACCTCGTATTCTAAATCCTGACATTAAACAACGAATTCTGTTTTCCATCAAGCAAAGGCCCTCCCTTTTGATACTTATTCCACGCAAATCTTATCATCTGGGCACGTGCTTCTACTTGACCTCTTGACTTGATCTACTTCATCTTCACCAGGTTCCATGTACTCCATATGGTAACAAATCACACACAATATCGTGACCAGGAGCTGATTTCCTTCTTGGTTTCTGTGGACTGCGGATTTTACAGAGCTTCATATGGTAACAGAATCACATGTCCTTCATGGAGACCTTCCGTATGGATTTGAAGTTTTCTGTCCCTTAGTTAACCTTACTCAATGACTATCAACATCCCCATCTGTTTAGAAAACAAACAGTTGCTTGTATGTGATACACCTTCGTCACTTCTGTGAGTATATTACAAAAGAACTCTCAACTAGCATCAGGCAGACAAGTATGTGTATCTAAATATGGCTACAGTGCAATAATTACATCCTAATAACACAACATTAAGCTGTAATCCATCTACTAAGCAGTCAATTCATTTGGAATATCACTCTCACTGCTGAAATCACAATCTTTTTGATGTTGAAGTGTCTCATCTCCTTGAGTGCACCTCTTCTGTTTCGCTAACCTCTATGCAATTTGGTGCTAATTCTGCGGTTTCCTTTGTTGTCATTGGTCATCATATCTGGCAACACCAGGGCACTCCATCTTCTGTTCAATTCTTTTTCTCATCAGAGGCGTCTATGGCTTGTCTGTTGTCGCTATTACCTGATAATAGGAGTTAAACTATTCCAAATTGTGACATTCTTCAAAGAGGTTTTACTTGAAGTCTTCAGTGACTCTATACGCAACCAACATCTTCAAATTTCTTCATGTAGCGTAGTGTACCTTGGACAGCTTCTCTTCAAATAAATTTTGACCAATTAAATGGTGCTGTTTACTTTAATCTATGAAGTATTCCATCAAGACCACTGCCCAGCCCATTCTATTAGAGTTGCCTAGCCTCTTTCAAAGGCAATTTCGACCAAACAAATGGAGCAATTTTTCATGCTGTTTTCATGTAGATCTCCTGTTGATTCGGACAATATACTCTTAGTCATAATTGGTATCTTTTTGCTGTTGCTTCTATATATGTAAGCGATCTTCAACCATCTTTTCTCTGCCTTTATGTTGTCACTCTTGACCATTGACTTTTCTGATTCAGATCCACTTTCCTGGTTTTAAAACATAAACAAATGGTTATAAAAAGAGAACAAAATATGGGGCTAAAATATCACAAAAGGGGCGTTAAGTTATGATAGATGAGAGGGACTCCCATAATAGCAGCTTACCATTCCCAAGATTAAATTCTTTATTAAGGAATGAATTTACCTTTCTTCCAGAAAAAAGCATTACTTATAGAATCTGAGAAAGGGATTTATGCTTGCCTTAAGTAATACTTTTTTTATTAAATCAAAATTTGTGTTGAAAGACCAGAAATTATGACTGATAAGACTTTAACGTTCTCTTTAATCGTTTAAAAATCATAACTTGACTTGCTCATGCGGTAGTCATGTGCTACATATAAGCATGTAATGGCGGCAAAAAGATAGTAACAAAAAAGACCCCAAAATTTGTTAAATTCAAATTTTGGAATTTCTACGACAGCAGATGTTTGAGACACACCACCAAAAAAAAAAACAAAAAAAAATCCCAATTCCAGTTCTTGAACTATACTTTGTCCAAGTTGTGTACATCGATACACCGGAAAAATTTCAACATTAGAGCACAAAAATATATGAATCTTTCTGAAAATGATGACATTTTAATAATGAAAGACATGGACTACTTGGTTCACAATACGAAATGGAGCATGCATTATAATTGTTATCAACACAGCATATAGTTGAGATATGAAATATTTCTTTACATGATCTTAAATCACTTGAAAAGATATCACAATTGTAAAAAAGACTGAAATACATACTGATGTAACTGAAATAAACACAAATGAAAAATGGGACTTTCCTCTTCTCAAGTTTTTCTAGCAAACACATCTGCTTAGCATTCCAAGTGTTGCTATTTTTTTTTTAATATTTGCACTTGTTCATTCAGATTGATTTTCTGTGGATGAACACTTTTTCACTTTAATTCACTTTCCCTTCACCAACAGTCAACACAAAGGCTTATGCAATTGTTAATCTGTAATGAGAAATGGGAAAGGAAACAAATTCTGTTTCATCTTTTTCCAACTATTTCTCTTGGTTTATTATTCAGATACAAGTTTACATTTTCATGACTTCTTCAATTTCTAATCACAACTTTCAATAGAAACTCCACATTTCAAATGAAGTTAAAAAGTCCACATCTTATCACATAAAACCCTCCACATAAACAGCGTAAAAATCATTCTGCAACTATAAATCATTAAGGATAGGGGAGATAACTAGGATTCATCTGCTTCACACTCGTCCACAACCTCAAAGTCACTTCCCATTTGCATACTGAATCCACTACAATCACTGGCTCCATCTGAAATTGGAAAAATACAGATATATTTTCTTTCGTAAATGGTACTGTTACATTTGAGATGTTATTGAAAAACACACACTTAAAACTGAATACTTTCCCAACAAATACAAAGATAGAAGAAAAAAAACCTAGTGGTTTACAGAACACAATGTAGCATTAGCAGCTTTGCTTTGTTAAGATGAGGTCAGAGATGACACAATCCCATTTCTCCAATGCTACACTAAATTTTGAAAGAAAATATTTATATTGTATGAACATTTTTGAGACCAAAAATTTGAGTCCTCATGATAATTTAACATTATTAATATTCACAATACCATGTTTATAGCATCATTTTTTCTTTTGAAACTTGTTTATATTAGCTCAATGTGATATAAATAAAAACATAATGCTCACCATCCATGTCGTCAGACTCAGAGACTGCAGTACTGATCTCAGCTGTAGGCATTGTTGTTTCATTAGAACTTTGTGGGGCTGGTAAAATATTTGCCTGGTCCATCGGCAAGTCTTTCCTCACACCATTTTCAATGGTCACATCCACACTATGTTCCTTGAATGGATCTGAAGGCGGCAGAGGAATATCCATCCCCATCACTGGCAATTGATCTAACTTACCTTTTTCCTGAGCTTCAACACCCCCAGACGGTATTTGTCTGATTGGTGGCAAGGAAAGGTTCTGTGAAGGTGGTGGTGGTGTTTTCTTCTCAGCTAATGGTTTCTCAGAAAGAGGGTCAATACCAAGCAACTTCAAATCTTCTAGCTCTTCTTTCTGTGCAGATGTCAATGTCTTCTCTTTTTCCTTCACTGCATATGTCTTTTCTTTCACTCTATCATCAGTCTTTTTTTCTGCTGTGTCTGTGTTATCGTCCTTGAGTTTTCCTGTAAAAGCTTTGAGTATATCCTGAGCTGTCACCTTCGGCTTGTCCTTCATTACTGGTAATGGTTTGGATTTATCTTCTAGTGTTAGAAACATGTCCAGAGGCGTTTGCTTTCCTCCTGAATGATCTGTTTTTCCTCCACCTTTCCTCAGTGGGAAAGCTTCAACCTTACCAGCCCCAGCTGCTTGTTTCTGAACATCCGGTTTTGAAACGGGAGTCCAAGGCGGCAGCAATGGGTTTTTCTTCCCTGTAATTTTGACACCAGGAACAGGTTTTATACCCATCTTGTTGATAATATTAATGGCAATCTTGCCTTTACTCTCTTGCCCAGCTTCACTATCTTTCTTTTCCTGTTCTTCACTGTTATCATCTTCATTCTTGCTCTTTTCTTTGTCACTAGTGGAGAAAGTGAACTTGCCAAATCCCTCACTAGATTTCACCGTCTTAATATCCTTCTGTTCAATTGGTGATAATTTTGGTTTTTTAGATGCTTGTTCTATGCCTAATTCAGCCACTGGTTTTTCCCACAACTTTTCCTTCTCCTGCACTCGTTGCTTCCTTTGCTCATTTTTTTCTTTTTTATCTTCCCGGCGGTCTTCCTTTTTCACAGGCTTCACATCTTTGCTTTCCGTGCGACCTGCAGCTTTATCCAGTGTCCTCTTCTGCTCATAAAACTCGTTTTTTTCCACATGTTTCTGAAACATTGATGTGTGAAATTGTTTAAAACATTACTTACAGGTTTATATATATACTACAAAGATGTTTTTTCTCTCTCTAATACTAGGTTATATCTATTTTTAATGTACTTATATAAACTATAGATTTTATCTCAATGCCTGTATCGTTCATGCCAAAATCATAACATGTTCTATAATCTCCATTCAAGAAGCCAATGTAAATAAGAAATTGTAATATTGATCTTCATGGTATAGTTAAGAAATATCACCTATTTAATTGAACAAATTCAGTAGCAGTCCATCTCAGGTAAAAGTCACTTATGCGAAGAGGTTCAAATGATTCAATCCAATGACATGAAGACAATTCTTTAAAGGTTTACTACACATATGTGACCCCTATGACCATGAAAATAGTTCAAAATCATACAAAAATGAAAATCTGAAAGTCTTTTATTCCAGGTACCTTATCAAAATATCAACACCAAAGGTGTTATGTAACATGAAAAGATTTTAACAACATATCAAATACTTATGTCCTTGAAATGGTCATTAATATGAAGAATCTTTTTGTGCACATGTTCACCAATTATCACTAACCAGAAGCTTCTATTTTTCTAGATGCTTGAATAAAAATTTGATGGACACATGGACCAAGGACAATGGATCATTCACCAGTCAAGAACTCACCAACATTTTGTGCCATGTGAACTAAAATGTTAATTACAATCACATAACATAAACAAAAATCATATCCTAGTAATAAAGTGTTATCAATAAATAAGATACTAGAATACATGTAAGAAATGTTCTTAGTTTAAAAAAAAAACATATACGTTCATACCAAGTAGTTTTGATAGTGGCTTTCTGTCTTGATGTGAAAGTCAGCACAAGCCTCATCCCCAGCAAATTCCTTGCATAAAGTGCAGTAGAAAGCCTTACAAGGCACCAAGAATTCTTGGCCTGAAATAGAATGTACCTTTTTTTCACTGCACCATTCCATATGGAGTGATTGTTTTGTCAAATAGAAATGGTATCATGAAATATTTTACCATTTTGTTAACCTGAGCTTAATCTGTGACATCACATTATCCAAGTTAGCATTGCCCACCTAGTTCAAATAGAAAACTTGAAGCAAGATTTCTAATACTCTGAAATAGTTTGTCCATGCTGCTCAAGAAACATAATAATCATTTCCCTATTTCAAGAAAATGATATCTGTGCAGAGGAAGAAAAGGATTACCTTTAATTTACCATCTGAATATAGCCAAGATTGAAAAGAACACGATACTAATTTTTGATTGATTTTGCCATTTTACAGAAATGTGAATGAAATAGTTTCAGTTATGATAAATGTTGATCAAAATGAATACAGCTTTTTATTCTGTAAATAATAATGCAATTGGCAAATAGTTAATGAATCAATAAGGATATCAATCTGCCAATTGTGAACAAAATACTGTGTCATAGTTAATTGTGGGCGATATTCTTTTACTTAAATACCTAGCAAACATTTTTACGAATTGTTAGAAAATGTACTTTATATGTATGTATACATAGAAACCAATATAAATGTAAATGAAAAGGAAATCCACAAACCAGCAAAGACAGGTTAGAAAGTACTAATTTTCCTTGTAAGGATCAGTTATTTCTTCGCTAGCCATCTTGTTGATAAGTCTTAATATAGATAAATCATGACCTCATTAAGGATCAGGTCAATGATATTTATGAAGCTTACTCTGGCAACCGATTCCACTTTTAAGTGTCCTGAAACAACTTTTTATCAAGTTATCTCAAAACATGATTCCTTCTTTTTCAATGAAGCCTTACCTTTAACTGGCAGCACTGCTAGGTGATCATTTTTGTTATGTTTTTGTGGGGTCTTCATTGTCCTAGGGACCCATGGTCGATCATAAGGATTCATAGCCTTTTAAAAAAGGAATAACACATGTATTATGATGTGCATCAAATAAACAGTCATTGTAATATTTTTTGTCCTTGTCAGCGGTAAAACATTGTTTGCAGTTAAGGATTTACTCCTCTGAGAAGTAAAAAACATCCAGTATTTAACTTTTTTTCTGATGATTTTATTAAAGGTTTGATTTCAGAAAGCAGATTAAAAGCAAAAGATGAATGTTTCTGCACTGCTTTTTCCGATACAGGCATCAGAATATGTGTAACATACAATAATTCATTTTCCACAAATTCTTATTTTTTTCCAGAATAAAATATATTCTCTCTTGTTCTCTTGAGGAGTACATCCTTAAGTTATTTGACATATAGATAATATATGTATGAATTGGTATCGTGGAGACTTCTGATCTCTTATTTTTGAGATGATACATGAAAAAATGTTTCAATATGATTACTTTTAACACCAACGAAAATATCAATATCTGCAACTTTCAACTATTCAATATTTACTGGACAAGATATATACATACATACTCAAATTGAGGAAAGAGTACCTGCTGATGTTTTTTTCCATGTAGATGTTGAAGAACGCTGTATACACTACCAGATTCTGTGTTACACACTTTACACCAGTGACCTCCAGGATCAAAAAACTCGTACTTCTTAACACGTGCCTGAGTAAATAAAGAGAAATATTCCCTTCTATCTGATTAAAAATAGTAGAAGGGTTGTTTGTTTCTGAGGTATCATTCATATTTTAAGTTAGAGCAATAATATGCTATTATCATCTAAAATTCAGAAACAGCTGATATTAGACATAGTGGAAAAAAAAACCCATGTAAAATATGAAAATATTGTCAAATCTCCTTTAAAAGCCACCTGTTTATAACAAGTACTTGTCTATTAAGGCCACTGTTTTGGGTCTCAATGTATTCATACTAAATTGCCTATAAACGTTGTTTTTCTCTGATCACTCAAATGGCCTTTATACAGACTAATGTAATGGTATTTATACCTGTTGATTTTTCTTTCGTTTCTGTAACTCCTCATTGCTCCGTACACCTTTACTTTCCTTAGCATCTTCTGCCGAAGCTCCGTCTTTTTCAATTTCAGGTTTATGATTTGGATCAATTTTACACTCTTTCAAAATCTTTGAATTTTCCTCAGCAGCTTTTCGAAGTTTTGATATTTGTGCAGATATGTCATCCTGCAGTTTGTTATTCTGCAGCAGCACTGGATCTTTATGTCCATCTTTTTGTCTGCGTATCTTTCTCATCATTTCATTTTGCTGTTTCCTCAATTTTTGTAATTCTGCTTCCAAAGATTCAATCTTCTGACGTCTCTGTTCCCTTTCTTTTAATAAAGCATTTCTTTCTTTTGGTGTGAGCACCTTTTGAGGAGAATCTGCTGTCTGCTTTTCAGGAGGACCTTTTGGTTTATCAATTTTAGGAGGAAGAACAGTTCTGTTGGTTTCTTTTGGGGAAATTGTTACTGTTTTTTTCTCGATGGTGATTGTCTTTTTCTCCAGGATTTCTTCCTGCATTTCGTCTTTATTTACAGTTGACTGGTGGTCTGTAGTGACAGGCTTTCTCATTTGAGGGGGTATGCTATGAGGTGCTGGGGGTGGACCATGAGTGGGAGGTGGACCATGGAAGATTTGGCCAGGAGGTGGATTATGAGTGGGATGAAATGGGGTACTTTGAGGTGGGTAATTTCCATAGCTGGAATAAGAACCAGAATCAAAACTTTGGGGAGGAGGCCCATACCCATATGGGGGAGGTGCATTATACATTGACCCCACATTTGCTCCAGAATAAGGAGGAATAGCTCCTTGATTTGTCTGTGTAGAAGATGCTGAGGATGAATTTGTGTAGTCAGACAAACCAGGTGGATATGCTGGTTGTGAATATGATGTTGCTCCAGAATAGACAGAATACTGTGTATCCGAACGTGGAATCTGTCTTTGGAAAGATATACCAGATGACAGATTCTCCGAGGACAGAGTTGGATCTTCATATGTAGACTCATCAAACATGTCACTTGATGATTTTTTCAATTGTTCCACTGATGCTCTCTTCCTTTCCATATCTAAGAAATCTTTCTCCCTGGTTCTTTCTCTCTTGTAAGTTTCTGAACGTCTTTCCTGTTCTGAAGGTTTTTGTTCCATCTTTTTGTACCTTTCTCTAGTTTCATTTTCATGGTCATGTTTCCTCTCAGTTGACTTTGGTGGACCTACTTTTGCTTCTCGCATCAAAATATCAACTATTGATTCTTCTTTTTTCTTGAAGAGCTTGGCTTTGATATCATCAGAAATTCCCCCTTCTAAAAAGGATGCAGTCTGATTGATACCAAACTGTTCCTCTTCCTTCTTTGGTTTCTGAATTGGTGTTGAATTGCTTGCCTTTTCTTGCATTCTTCTTGACATTTCAAAGTCAAATCCTATGGATTTTAGAATATTTTCTATCGTAGGATCATATTTTTGTTTTGGCTCCTCTGTAGAAACCTGGCTTGTATATGGGATGGTTTGCGGTATATGGATAGGTTCTTGGGATGTAGAAGCATTTTGGGAAGGTTGTGGAGTAGGTTGTAGGATTGTAGGCAATTCATTCCCAGAGGTGAATAAACTTAACAAGTCTGGCTTAAAAGCTTGAGTAAAGGCTGGAGGTTGAACAGTTACAGGTTTTTCCTGCACTGAGGTGATATCTCTTATAGCAGAAGGGTATGAATTATGCTTCAATCTTTGGTCCTCAAGGAAAGAAGAAACAGATGAACGCAGTTGGTCTTCTGCAGTGGGTCTGCTGGGCTGGTCAACAATTTGATGATCCAAGAAACATGAGTCTAAATTTCTTTCTTGATCCTGTGTTTGACGAGAATCTGCATAATTTCTCTGCCCAACAGAAGATGACAATCTACTGAAGCGATCATCTTTTGAATAAGAATCTGGCTGTACATGTCTATGATCTACTTCAGTGTAAAATGCATCCTCTGATCTATATTTGGACTCAACTGAGGGTTTTGAGCCAATCTTGTTCAAATTGCCTTTTTCCAAATCAAAGTCATCGTCGCCATACAAGAATTTTTCCTCATCTTCGATATCCATGTAAGAGGACATTCCTGGTAATCCAGATCTAGAGTTTCCTCTACCATCACTTGATTGCTGATCATTGAAAAGCGTGCCACCAATGGTCTTTTCATTGTTATGTTGTATCCTTGCATCTGTTCCCTGTTTATCCAACACAGGTGTTTGACGCATGATAGGAAACAAATTCTTCTCTTCCATTGCAGATGGATTTGTGGTCTGGTTAGTTGAAGTTTCTTCTGATGAAGACTTCTTTTTCAAAATAGATTTTAAAGGTTTTGGTGTAGGAGGTATAAGAGGAAATGTAGGTCTCAAATCATCTGAACTTGACCTGTTTATATTCTGATAGTCATCCCTATTTGGTAAATCTCTGTGTCCACCTAAGAGTTCTCTTTCAGTTCTGTCTTCAGTATCATGCCTGTGATCAACATCTCTAAAAAAGCTGTCACTTTCTGGTTCCCTATATCCACCCTGACGCTCCAAACTATCCCTGTTATTTCCTCTTCTATCAATGCTTCCTCCTCTTCTGTGATTGGTGTCTTCTTTGTACCTTTCATCCCCACTGTATCTGTTGTATCTGCCTCGTACATCTCTGTTAAGATCTATGTTCCTTTCTTCATATCTGTCACTTGGATATTCTCTATTTCTCTGTCTGTTAGAATCATACCCTCCACTCCTTCCTATTGCAAAATCCCTGTCATGTCTTCGGTCTCCATGCTCATAGTATTTGGCCTCTTGATTATAACCATCAAACTTGTTAAAAGAATCTGTGTCAGATTTGCGATGATTATTTGGTAAGTCATTATATGGGGAACTGTCAACAGGGGGGCCAAGTCTTCCTGATAATGGACTCCTGGTTTTCTCCTTATAGATGTCATTACCAACAGTAATTCGCAAGGATTCAGTAGCCGGAATATCTTTTGAATACTGAAATGAGTAAGAAAAGTATCAGCGATATAACCTTATTGAATATTTTATACTCTGTTTTGTTTCAAGCTCTCAATAGTCAAATATTAATGAACTTGAGAATCTAAGCAATATTTGATGCCACACAGCTTAAACTTCTGATAAGAGAGGACATATTTAAACCTTTTCAATTGATGTTAGGGACTCAGGGTGCACTTCAGTTGTTATAACTTAAAAGGAAAGAAAATGCAGTTAAGACCAAAGTGCCAAACTAAGATTCAAACTTGACATTTAAACTTACTGGAGCCAACTTGCCATCACCAATCAGTAGTCATTAATGTACTTGTATAAGCACGCTCCCCAAAACACTCTTAATGTTAATTGAAGACTTTGTCAAGGAAACAAAGTTCATACAGTGACTCCTATTCATTATGATATCAATACCATTCATATTCCTGAAATATTTTCATAAGAAAAATAACCTTAGGTAAATGCTGATAGCTCCAGTGACAAATATAATGCCACTGCTAACAAGCCCTTAGTTAACCTATCCAAGTTTAGGAGACAAATGAGGAAAAGCACATGCCTATTTCAACAGAGGCCGAAGTTAAGTTGGATTTACTGTATTTACATTCTTGAAACCCATGCCATGACCACTGAATTAGGCCAAACCCTGACACAGCATTGATCAAAACTTAAACTAACCCAATCCTACTACAAATTCAAGCTTTATGTGATCCTATGCAATCCTGCTATACTCGAAACACAACTTTTACACATTAACATTTTATGTTATGCATCTCGTTATTTGAATTCACTTATTTTCTATTGTTTTTATTCTTTTTTCAATTTCAATGGCTTGAAAAAAACATTTCAATTCAGGTTCAGTCAAAACTTTCACTTCAGGACTGGTTAACGTTGTATTTGAATCTTATTATCTGCCATCGACACGCCTAGATATTAATAGTTTTCTGAACAAGCCAAGACTTTTTTTTTTGGTCTCAAATGCTTATCCTCGAGGTAACAAAAAAGTTGATCGTGTTGGCCATGAGGTAACCTGTGTTCTTAACGGTGAACGCGAACGATCCCGACTTCTGTGACGGTCTCGACCGTGTGATGAGCGTTCCCGGCTATTGCTACGTCCTGAACGTCCATGCTGATCTCGCTTCGATCCATAGGAGTCACCACTATTCGATTTCCGTGTTGATGCGTGAATACCTCCCTCTCGCTTGACAGTGTTGTGTGACCCCTTCCCTCGTCCGAGAAACCCCATGCTAATGCGTTAAAACCTCGCTGCACTACCCTGTAACACTACTTTTTCGTCGCCATATCAGTGCCCCCTCTCCTTCTCGATTATGCGCATGCCCGAATCGTAAATGGTACCAAACCGTAAAATTTTGGTGGATTTCTTGTTTTCTTCTATCGCATTTCAATCAAATGACATTAATAAAAACCATTTTAATTCAATTTTCTACGCAATTATTATGTCAAACTCTAATTACTTTGCTTTGTAAAACATGTAAATATATTACGACAATGCCCACACACACTTGGCTGACTCGGTCGGGAGTGGCGGTGAAGTTGAAAGAGTTGCCGTACGGTAAGCGAGCTGCGTGAGTCACTCGCAACGCTGGGCACAAGGCAAGCGAGTAGTGTGATTAAACCACCGTTATTCATTCGGATGGAGAGTTAGTTATGTAGTGAATTTCGGACAAAAAGGAAAAGTATTTCGGGCAAAAATGTCATCTATTTTGGAAAGACCTCAACTCGCCTCACGGGGTACGTATGTGTGCGTCTAGTCAGCATCACCATCTTTTGTTCGCGAATCATGATCAACTTAGATGTTCGATATTGCTTTGTACTGTGTAAACACACTGACAGTAGAGAACAGCGGAGTGTCATGTTTCCTTACAGATAACAATACACATCCGATAGGAACAAAGTCTCAACTTTTCCTTTTCTTTCTTTTTTCTTTTTTTCGTCGATCAGCAGATGTTATGATTATTCAATATATGTAAATTTTGTTCCTGGAATTCTTCTGTTAAGGTTACTTGGGTTGTACAATTTGTTAGTCTGTGGTTATTAGACGAACATATAAGCTGTAAGTTTTTCATCATTTAAAATTAGATTGTCTTGAAAAATTAAAAATACTGTACTGAGACAGTACATTTCATTTCATAAGATTATTTAATAAGTTTTAATATACAAAAAGAATTGTCCAAGCATATGCTGATACAGTGACTTTCATTGTAAGAACCAATATTTGTTTTGTTCATACAAAGATATATTCAACCAATTTCTGTTGATTATAAAGGCAAAGAATGACCACATCAACATTTTTGAATACTTTTGATTCACCCTAAAGAATTAATATTGTTAATACATGTTATTATAACGTTACCAATTTACTGCATATTAAAAAGTATCTCAAACATAATGACCCAATTATATAAGATTTATGAAGCATATTTGCTGATTAGTAACATATGTATATCTTTACAAGAATGTTGTATTTTGTAAGTTTAGGTTTCATAATGATAAACTTGGCTCAGTAATGTGTGGTATATATCATTTTACAAGTATATCTCTGAAGAGAATTTTTCTGCAGAAGGAAAAACAATGATAATAGAATTCTAATTTACATTTAAATGTTTTGTTTATAAGTAGGGAGTCAAGCTGTACTTCTACAAACATGAGTTTTACATGTGCAATCTCTCCTCTTTGTCATTTTAGGGTTGTTATTTTACCCAGTACATCACATGTATTGATTTTTATTTTGGTATTGGATCTTTACCTGTTGAACCAACAGAAGCTACAGTCAGTGTGAATCACCCATGCTGTTATTTACACCTGCTTAGTCTATTCCCCAGTGTATAGTTTATAACTGATATAATATAAGTTACACCTATATATCGCACACATGTGTCTCTAGAAATCAGACTGTGAGTTATGGTTATCGTTGATTGACAGCACTAGGAATTTACAGGTAGCTATAAATAAGCTGGTCACCATAGTAAAGCCGCTGTACACTAGCATTAGGTATACACCATAAGGTCATGCATAATGAATAGGCAGGTTACAAAGATATTATTACATAATGACTCGACACCAGTCTTTAACCATGCATGAGAATAAGGAGTGCACCGGTCTAACTCTTGACACAAGGTATGTGGATACACACCACTACCCTTCGGCAATGATAGTCAATGAATACCCATGTAAGCAGCGAGTGTGTGTACAGCTAGTATTCTACAATGATTAATAAACACATTTATAATTGGTCTGTGTATTTTCAAATATTTACAATAGCTTTCTTTTGTTTTTGTTTTTTTTTATATTTTTTTGTCTTTAATTTTCCTATCAGATATATTTTTCGCATACAATATTAGAAAATTTTGCACATGAGTTGAAGTGATAATGTTCAGAAGATAAAAGAATAAATACCATTTGTTGTTGGATGATTATCAGGGTCTCTCTAAATTGGCCTCAAACCTTGACTCTAGTTCAGAATTCTATCCATTCTGTATGTATTGTTGTCAAATGATTTAGTGACAAGAAAATGCTTTTCAACTTACAGCTGACAATTTAATTCAAACTTTTCTCCAAAGTGGCCACATTACATTTAAAGTTTCTAACTTATAAGGGTGTCTGGTTTTAAGAGAATTCCTGATCACTGTGTGGTCTTAAGCAACAAGCTTTATTTTATCAATATTCATCATTCTGAAATAGCTAGTAAGAAGTTTCAAGTACATCGTAAATATTGGCTATTCCTGTAAGTCTTGAGAATGCCAGAAGAGGCATGCTAGCCTACTAGGAAAATTAGATCCTTCTTATATGTATGCATGCATGCATTTATGGAGGTCTTTACCCCATTTACTTCCATAAATATATGCATATCATCATTAGGTCTGATCACCAATACACATGCAATGTTCATGTTTATATTCTGAGCTGTCAAATAAAAGATATTTGTGTATTGAAAACATGGATATGTGTGATATTGTAGTACACTGCAGTATAGAGTGAGCATATGTGTTGTACAAAAAAAGAATAATTGTCATTCATGTGTTTAGTAAGTGGTATATATCTGTCATCAAAGGAACATTTATCTTTGTTTTTCTCATACAATTATTATTATGTATGATAAAGCTATTATTTCATATCTGTACTTTACAAAAGTCACAGTCATGAATGAAAACAATGAAAATAACACTAATTCTTTCCAACATTGCAGTCTTGTTTGGTTGTAAACTGTAATGTTTTATGGCTATCATAAAAGTGATAGCTGGGTATTGACTTTTACGGGGTGGATTCATGCATTGTTTGTTATGCCATTCACTACATGACTCATGGTCTGCTCATGCCATGTATATTATAGAATATTACACATGTTTATAGTCAGTGATCGAAGGGGCCATCAGTTTTATAGATGTGCATGCACAAGGATCAGATCATATTAGGCTGTATTAGCTACTGCACATAGAATAAGTCATCAATATACTAGTCACATTATGATCATTTTCAGATCTTATTTGATCACTAGGTCATGATCATATATCGACAAAGTAACTGCCTTTAATGCAAATATGCAGCTGGGTCTACATCATTTTCATCAAGCAAATTATTTGACAAATCATCCTGATTTCTTTCAAGCTTATAAATCAGTGGTTAGAAATTCAGGACACATAATATTAATAAGCAGAACAACTATCTTTGCAAAGATATAACTAGATACACATATGAAAACATTTATTTGAGAAAGACTAATTCTAATTAAACACCCTGATTCAGTAGATAATTCCTTCCATGAGATTTCTTACTAGGAGGTATTAGATTGTTGTTTATTATTTATTACTAATATGATTTAATCTTATTAACATTTGGATGGTAAATTTATGGGAATTAGTACAGTTTTTAGCCAATGTAGGTTAGCATTGCCCAATACTGAAATAAAAATCTAGACATAAACTGTATAGGTGTTAATGTTAATACATGTACAAATAGTTCCCCAACATGTTGAAATATATCGAAGTCGAATGATATTTTGAAATGATATCAGATACATTATTTTATCAAAATGTTACATGAAAATATCAGTAAGTATATTAATTTCTGTGACCATGTGACCTTTTACAAGGTAGTTAATTTTTGTATTAATATATTGATTTTCACTTTCCAGGTGCCCGACCCGAAGATGGAGTTAGTGATATGACAATTATCAGTGATATTGATGAGAAAGGAATCAACATCAATTTGCGAACTCGTTATAAAAAGGACCAGATTTATGTATCCTTTTGTCTTAAAATTATATGTATGTACTAATCAAGTTGTGTAAGTATGGATTGAAATAATTGATTTGACCAAAAAAAAAAAAAGGGTGTGGGTGGGGGTTGGAAATTGTGCATGCATTACAGGAATTATACAGGATATTATATCTTGACATATGTGGGAATGTATACACTGCATTACATTGCTGCAGTATTACTATTTACCTGTTGCTGTCATGATGTCTTTGGTTCTGTTCTTGTATCATTGTGTTTACAGAGCTACATGATTATTTAATGTACATGCAAAGTAACAACTGAAAATAGTGTGATTGCTTCAAAGCTATGTATAAAGAAAAAAAGTTATTGCAAACACATGAGTTCAGCATAAGCACTTACATTGCTAAATCTTCAGATGCTTAACCACAGTAACAATAATGTTGACATCATAGATACTTTGACTGAACATTTGTAATTGAGGTCAGTGAGGTCATATATGTATGTTTCCCATTAAAAGCCTAACATACATTGCTTGCATGGCAAAATTACCAGTATGTGATATTCATTGGGATTTCGTGGGTGCTTTTATAATTAGTTACACAGTTTGCTGTTGCAATAATTGTCACTACACTGTATACAGAGTAAAAGAGCAATGTTCCATTTGTTTTTAATTAATGCTGATAAATTTATTATTCAAATAAAGATAGATATAAAGTGCTTATCTCTTTAGGCTACTTTTTGGTTGGCCATGTAAGCATGTACAGGGTATATAATCAATACAACCACAATTACAGGAAATTCAGCCTCCATCAGTTGTTAGGTATGCATTGATATGTATCTGTGTAATAGGCAATTGATAGACAGGCTTACTTTCACTGACATGTGCTATTTTAGGCTCATTGGATTTACCTAAATATGTATGATAAGCAATGATTTATTTGGTTAACTACTGATAAAATGTTAGTTTTTTTTGTAGGGTATGCATAGTTGTTAAAATCACCAGTTAAACCCAATGTTTTGATTGCACAACATACTTGTAGCTTATGTATATCTGTAGATCTTTTGATATTATTTTTATTTTGGAATGTCTAGATCTTTGTTTGTGATTCCAATGTTCATGCAAATAAATAATGATATATTTTCTGATAAAGTTATGGTATTAGAAAATTACGTCATTTGTCAGTAGGTAGATGAACCATTGGTTTTAAGAAACATTCATGTGCAGATACATTTTTTTTATCTGTGTTTAATCAGTACTTGAAATGATACAAGTCTTCTGTACTTAAAGCTGTATATTTTGTGATATACCAAAAGTTCAGAATTCATATGTAATTTAGTTTTTGGTTAAAAAAGAAACAAGGTAGTATTGTATATGAATATTTAGTCATGCAGAGTTACAGATCTGAAAGATGTGCACAAAATTAGCTTATAGACATATGTGCATAACTGAAGTGCACCTTAAAACATAAGTGCATATAATATTATCAACTACTCAAAACAAACGGAAAAGGAAGTTGGGCCTGTACCAAGCATGACAGACTTTAGTTAACATACACACTGAGATTTGTACAACCTTTCAAGTGCACAGGAAGAGTGCGGTGCCACAGATATGTTCTATGTCCTATCTGGCGGTTTTGCTCACCTCCAGACTCCCTCAAATTCCTTACACTGATAAATTTTCTCTAGATTACAGGGTTCAATCTGGAATGTTTAGTCTGGCAAGATGAACACATATATCTATCTTAGGAAAAACTGAAGTTTTACATAATTTGTAATTTTATTTCATATCTTGTAATCACAGATAGAGGATTTCCACAAGCTCAAACTACCAGTATATATAAACATTTTATGTAGGACAGGAATTTACTTCCTGTGGAAAATGGAAATGGTATCAGAGCAGGTGTCAGCTAGGGAATCGGTTATAGGAAGAGCACAGATGTTAATTAAAACAAGTCCATCTTGGAATCAGTTTCAACATAAAAAAGACATGTGTCCATGTTTTCTGATATATGGGTCAGATTTGTTTTATGAGAACTTGGAGTGTAATCATATAAAAAATAATACACCTCTAATTTATTTAGCCCCATATGGACAAGAATGTAGTAGTAGTAGTACAACAAGTTATCATCTGACAGTGGAGCCATTTTGATGAAAGAAAACCGATAAATACATACAGATTAACAAGACTTTATGTTACGCTTATGTATATGTTACATACAGAGATGGCAGAATAAAAATTTAGATATACTTATATGTAAGTTGTATGCCTCAGATCTTACGCTTTACTAGTTTTTATATCATTATTAAATAGGTATAATGGACTATTAAATTCATGGAACAATCTGTTGCCTTGTTTCATGGCAATGTTTTGTTTTCTTCACCACATGAACAGTCACAGTCTTTTAGAGGTGGAGACGCCTTGTCCTTGTAGAGGATTGTGGCTACCTTACTGAATGACGTATACGAGGCCCATCACATGCCATCAAGAGCAATTGTGATAAAGTGTACATGTCTTACCCATGATAGCACAGAGTAGCCGTCTCTTCCTAATTATGTTTAGCTTCCTGAGAAATACAAACGGTTATGTATATAAGGGTAGGGAGGATCAAATCACAGACCTCAGATCTTCTGGTGATGTCTAGGCCAACGCTCTACCGACTAAGGCAACTAATGGCATAATGTCAGTAACAAACTCCTGATGAATTTTTAATTTCTCATTAATCACCTAGAAAAGGTGAACAATTGCAGCTTTTCAAAAGTGTTTCATGATATCATTCATCTGATCATCATGATTCATGTAAGTACTAGAAAATCAATAATCATTTCATAGCTTATAATTAATTACAGCAGATCTAAAGGTGCTTTAATCTTGTTACTAGTTTACCTAAATCAAAAAGATTTCATTTATAGCTGATATTTTTTCATGATAACTACATTCTGGAAGTAGGCCCAGATTACAGGTTGAACACAGGTCAATGCTCCAGAAAATGTATTGCCTCTGAATTTTCATATACATTGTACACACACTGTTAGCTTACAATTCATATATACTGATTATTGGATATGTTAGAGTACTGTCAAGTACCCATATTAAGTCTATGTATAAGAATACTTAGTAACGATGCCATTCATTAGCCTGATGGAACTGTTATTATATATATACAACACAATTAGTGTAATTACTGCCAGAACTATAGAGATACTTATGCATGCAGATGAATGTGTAAGGGAGTCCACATCTAACACCTGGTATCCATACACATGCTTACAGAATGTGTAGAGATCAGGATACTGGTTACCATTCACACTGGTACATATTTGTGAATAAATTCTTCTATGATAACTGAGAATTGATAAAAAAGAAAGAAATTCATAAAGATACCAGTATTTATAACTGAGAATTGGAGAAAAAAAAAGGAAGAAATTCATCATGAAACTATTTTTTATAGAAGGTTTATATATAGTAGGTTTCAAATTTTAAGCTATCATTTGACATTTCATTTACCATGTCTTTAAGTTACAGTCATTTCTGATAAGACTTTTTCCTACACCTGAAAATACCAAAAATAATAAACTTTGGCCTTGTGTTTTCCATCTGTATAGCAACACTTTGACAGCTGGGAGTTCACGAAGACACATGTTACTTTCAGTAGAGTCCTATCAAGCAATACAGGATGCTTTGATTATATCTTCTATCAAGCAATACAGACATGCAAGTTGTTATACTTCCATTGGTGCACTGAGTTTACTTTACTATTAAATAATTACTTAAATAAGCTAATTATACAAAAATATTGAAATTGTTCCGTTTTAACATGCAACAAGGTGAAAACATTGGGAAGTTACACTTTCCGGTTAAAATTAGACTGCAGATACTTTCAAGGGCTGAGTTGAATAATTCCTTGTTATGGTGTAGAAGAGGATTACAGGCATTGTAAGAGATGGAGCATTTGGTTAGCTTCCCACATAAGTCAAGTCCGGGAGTGGAATCTTCCTGACAGAGCTAACGTTATACCAGATATTAATTTTTACATGTTGAATTACCTGTAACTATTAGTTTATTAATTGGAGGCTGAAATGATGGCTGGAGTAATATTGGCTCTGTTTTAATGTTTAAACCCCACGAAGTAGTGCTACAGTATGATATCTGATGAAGAAATCATCAACCAATGCAAGTGGAGTTACAGACCAGGAGTATATTTATAGATTGTAGGGATGGTAGGGGTTATCAGGTCAGTAAAGAATGGACATTTTGATATATGTGGTAGCTTATGAGGGAATTCTTCAGACTTACATACCAATAAAAAACCTATATATCTTGGTGATAACTTTCCAACATTTTGATATCTTTTCTGGAGTAACTATGCCTGTTGTTTGGACACCCATGGAAAGGATTTCTCATCAGTGTACATGTGAGGTTCTCACTGTGAATTGTATTTATTGTTTATTGTTCCAGAAAGTCCACAGATTATAACACTATACTTACTTCAGGATTTAGCTCATATTGTAAAACCAGGCACAGGCTCCATGCTAAAGGCACATATATACACTTAAGGTGAAAATGTAATTAGATTGCATATGGAACTGTTGCAACTGGCAACCGTGGGAAGTTGGAAATGACATCAGACTTACATGATTAGTTTGCACTCAATATTTGACCATGGGAATTGGCTATATTAAGATACGTCCCCAAATAGCATTGTCTCATCCATGTACTTTACAAATGATCTGTGTGTCTTGAGAAAGGTTTCATTTAATGAAAGTTTCAAAGTTGAATAAATTTCAAGTTGTCATTAAGTGATTTATACCCATTTTTGGAAGTAAGCATCATGGAGCCATGATGGTCAACCACTTATAGGATCTTAATATCACTAAAGGAAATGGTTTTAACCTGGTTCTCACACAAAGCTATAAATACTGTACCAGTCATGACCATATGATCCTATATTTGAGTTAAGGTTGGTGTGGATTGAGTGTATTGAATTCTTCAACATCTTTGTACTTATATTAAGATGATTAGAA